GATGAATGGATGAATAGATGTGTGGGTTGGTGAATGAGATGACTTGATAGTCTATAAATAAACGAATCAATTCAAGAGTAGGAAGAATATACAAATGAATGGATTTCTTGTGAATAGACCTTCTATAGATGACTGAATGAAAGAAAGTGTAGCTGAATGAAGAATGCAATTAATAATTCACTGCAGTAAGTTCCCAGACAAAAAGACCCAATTACAACAATGAAACAAAAATGTCCCAATCCTGAAAAAAAGCTGTAAAACAACTCACCAAAAACCACATCAGTACGCCAGCAAGAACAGCAGAAACGATGATAAAGACAAGGACAGGCCAGGCTTGAAGGACTGATAACAACAACTTTGCGCCAGAAGCATTAGCGGCCATTAAAATAGCAACACCTGTCGAAGGCACGATACCAATGAATGGAAAACCACGAATATTTCTTGTAGCTAACACACCATTAACAGGAACCACTATATCAAAATCCTCTCTATCCAAAAGATCCGTTAGTACAGCCGGACCKTCTTTTTCTTTGACAAGTTTAACCCTCACGGTTGCCTGGCAACAGACCTTTAAGCTTTCTTGTAAAACAATCGGAAAAATCCCCTTTAGGTCTGTAAGGTCTTTGAAAGACCCCGAATCGTAGATATATGGATGTTGCTGCCAAAAATGAATTTTAAGAGTTTCGTTTTGCTGGCATTTTTCGTCGAGCGAAGCTGTAAATGGGAAGCCAATTTTCCATTGAAGAAACAACACCATGGTTATAAACCTATTCATGACTTCTGTTAGTTTTTCAACAAAACCCACAAGCAAAGGCTTTCCATCGTCTTAGTAACACCTTGCGAGTTCCCCACACATTTCAAAATATCCTATATAATTGAAGTCCGTCGATGTTATCCAATTCTTAGACGGTTATCATGAAAGGCAGATCATCTCGAGCTTTAAGCCACAAAAACTATCGTATGAAAATCCATGAATTAATTAGATCAGTTGACAAGCGTCCTGTGAAGACGCAGCAGCGGTGTGGACAAAACTGAAAAGCTATGAATATGCAAAAACTTTCATTGATGTTAATCTTAATTTATTTATATTTTTAAGATATGACGGCGAGCTTACGACTGACTTTAACTTATATGTTTAAAGACGAAAAAAGAGAAGCAAAAAACAAGAACAAATCCTATCTTTTTTGAAGTGTAAAGTGTCAAACGTCGTACTAAAAAAGGAGTAATTTTGTTCCATGTTGATTTTTGTATTGACACAAAAAATTACAAATTTCCGTTGAAATTCCAATCATAATATTTTGATTGGACTGAATATATTATATCGATCTCAAAGATAATTTCTCTTTTAACTTCTCCGCCATTTAAGAACACAAGAGTGGGAAAAGAAGTCAAAATTCGGCAATTCAAAATTTTTTCTCGAAAGATATATCCTTGATCGGTGATGTCAAGAGAAGTTCTCCATAACATTTGAACTGTGAAATAACCGAGATATCAGATTTACAAGAAGTTTTAAATCAGCTTTTCAAATGTCGAAATGGAACTTTTGGAAGAAGTGTGAAAAACTAACGATTAGCGGACACAACTAAATATACTAGGAACATTGCAGAAAATTGATGGCCGACTGCAAAATACAAATGCTAGAACCGTAAACCTTTTGTTTCGAAATGAATTGGTCGAAAAATAGAGAGTTTGAAGATAACTCAGAAATTCTGGCTGTCAAAGATAATGTTGATGATTAGAACAAAGGCCAAGGCTTGGAAATCAAACTTTTTATCGTCGCTTTATTCGCAGATTCTGTTGCTGCTATGCTCTGGCTGTGTAAATGGAAATTTAAATCACTCTTATGCGATGGATGAAGCTTGTCTAACAGGGAAAATGATTCATGTCAGATACGTTGATAATGCACCGTATATATTTAAAAGAAACGACGAAATGAAAGGAATACTCTTGGAAATATTCGAAAAAGGAGTTCAATTCTGCTGTAAAGATGGAGTTCAAATCTCGTACAATTTATCTACGTCGAATAATATTTTGGAATTGAGAACGAAACACGTCGGCTTTTTGCCATTAAGTAGAGCTTCACAAATTATATCCTCGATTCATGGCTTGCCTTTCGTAAGCCTAATCGAATCTCCGGGCTTCGCTGTAGTATCTGTAAAGAGCGTTCCCGGAGAGGATCTCCTCATGGCTATCCTGGATTCATGGCCAATTTTGGTATTCATAATTACTACGATCAGTCTCAGTGGAATTTGTATCTGGGTACTCGTAAGTATTGTCTAAATGTAGTATGTATTTATATATATGTTTTTCTTTATTCGTGGTGTAATAACTGTATTTGATTTCTTAATACACGTAGGAGTTACGATAACAAGTTTAATAAGCGCCACCATCGAAAACACCTTTTTTCTGTTTGGTTTTCTTGCTTCAGGTCAAAAAACGTTCAACTTCAGAAAACCATAAAATCGAATTAAATAAATAAATAAAAAGGAAAATTGAGGCTAAAATTTCAAAGTAASATCCTAATTCCAATAATTCTCTATCATGTGCTTGTTAACTAGGAAATGTTTTTTATAAGAAATATTATTAGTTACATTTTGCTCCCATAAAAATAACATAACTTAAAATAACATAATAGCATACGAACGAGAGTTTTAAGATTGGTTTTGACATTACTTAAACCTTTTGGATTTAATTCTCCACACATCCGTACATTTCAGCCAAATTTAATTACTTAATAACAATGACTAGAGCGCCAAATGAAAGAGCGAAAAATCTATCAATTTATCTTATCACAATCAGTTAAATACTTAAAAAAAGAATCACGAAATAACTTTTAGAGTTTTGCAGTCTTCAAACCAACTTTTTGTGTGAGTTTCTTGACTTATGATTCAAACTGACAAAAATATCTATAGATTTTTCAATGAACTGCTTCCAATATTGTACCTTTGGTAAAGATTTTAAAATTTCATGATCATGAAGATAGTAATCACTCGAACACAAAACCACAAAAGAAAAAAAAAAATCAACTAAATATATTGTATCTGACTTGAAGTTAGTAGAATGACATTGAATGTACAATCACTAATATTCAACATTTCCGTTGGGTTGTGTGGGTACGCTTTTGAGAGTTATTTTTAGAAACACATCAGTGACTTATATTTTGAAAACCCTTTTGTTCTTTTTGTGTCCATTCGCTACTAAATGAAATCTATAGACGGAATGACATTCATCTTGTATTCTCATTAGTTCAGGAAAGATAGATTTTTAAAGATAGGTACTGATCGATGATAAATATCAATTACTTATTTATTTTTTGACGGCGACAGTAGTACAGTAAGGAAAAGAAGAAATAAAAAAGAGAAAAAGTGAGGAATGACGGAAGAAGGTGGAAAAGAATGTATGAATGAATAAAGGAAAGATTGATCGAAGGAAATAAAGAAAGAAACTGCCAAAGGAAGACAAACAGAAATAAAGAAGAATTGGAAGAAAGAAAGAAAAATCAATTGAAGAAGGAAAGTAGTGATTCCTAATTCTACTCGATTATCGGATTCAAACACTATTTTTTGACGATTCGATAATGCAAACCACTGCAAAGTACAGTATAACCATGGTAAAAAAAGTATGCCTCATCCACTGTTTCGTCTTCTTTTAGTTCAAGTGTCATCCTCCTTAGTAGTATTTCTTTGTTCATCAGTGATAACTACACTCCCAGTTTCCTTTTCGGTACCTTTTTAGGTCATTCTACTTTTTCGCTATTGTCTTCATATTCTCAAAGAAGTATTAAAATTTAAACACGTAAAGATATTTTGAAAAGAATTTGGTAGATACGAAACGTCATTAGGGTTAAGGTCTATTGCTCCTCAATGACTCTAAAATTTATAATTAAAGGACAACCTAAGCCACTAGAACTAATATCTAGTATATAATAACAGTATATACTGTACCGCATTGTAAAAAGACGAAAAAGGCGTCATGATGTTTTGCACTGAATTCCTGTGACATCACATAAAGCTGTTCTTGACCAATGAACAGCAATTGCTGCAGAAAGACTACATGACTTATTCCGAACAGAGCAGTTGCATCTTACGGTGCGCTGTGGTTCGCTATGTAAAGGTACAGAATCGATGTTAAATTACGTGTTTCCTGTAGAAGAATATGAGGCACGTTCGTACTGTGCCTTAATAAGCCTGAAGCGAGATGACGCTTTACCCCTGACTCTATACCATAATAGTTTTTAAAATTCTTTCATATTAAAATTTTTGATTCCTTAGAAAATTCAGGAACAATAGTCATCATTAAAGAACAAAAGCAATGTGAAAAGGATTATGGTCTAGAGACGGGGGTAAAACGTCATCTCGCTTCAGGCTTATTAGTCTTTCGAAATGTGTCTAAGTTTAGCCGTGAAGCACCTTTACGTTCATGTTAAAAAAATGGTTTCCTGTTACGAACACCTAAACTAACAACCAAAAATTGAATACCATTAACTGTCTTTTTTCACTTTGTTTTCTTAAGTGCGACCTGACAAGTTTACGAAATTTTGCTATTTTTGAGAATGAATGTGTAATAAATCAAACACTTACTTCCTAACGAACACTTTTTCTCCACATTTCTTTCTTTCATGATTTTTCAACTTGTACAAATATTTATCTTAAGATGTCATTCCTGGTTTTGTCACAAAGACGAATGAAAACCATGCTGAATAGGAAAAGATTGATTTAAGCCGGATACACTCAAATATTGATGTGAAGCGTAACTCGAAAATCTATATGGTCGCACCTTTTTAAACCGATTAGATTGTCTTTTAACAAGACAGTGATCAGTATTGGGCTTAGCACACTTAATGTGACGGCCAGCACTCGAAGCGAAGACGCAAATTTGCCTCCCGTGAAAATTAGATAAACCTAACAGCACCGTTACGACGACAGCACGACAATATTGACCGCGTAAAAAGTTAAGGCCCTGTTACACGTTGAATCTTTTGGCTGAAACTTGTGTGCATCGGCGTTGAGAGACAAATTTCACGGGGGTGTTACACGACGCAATTTAGGATAGGTGAAACTTTCTGCCTGAGAACGTTTCACGAARAAGTAGAACTGCTTTCCACTCGTACAACCGCGAAACTTGTGCCGGGAACAAGTTTTAGGACGAAATAAGCCTGAWGCGAGATGACGTTTTACCCCCGTCTCTAGACCATAATCCTTTTCACGCTGCTTTTGTTCTTTAATTATGTGACTATTGTTCCTGTATTCTCTAAGGAATCAAAAATTCTAATATTAAAGAATTTCAAAAACTATTATGGTACAGAGTCGGGGGTAAAACGTCATCTCGCTTCAGGCTTATTGTGTTGTGTAACACCCCGTGAAACTTGACTCGCAAGATAGTTGTACGTAAGCTACAGCTAAAAGTTTCAGCTAAAAGCTTCAACAGGGCCATTATCTAGTTACTTTAGTCAGAAAAAATCGCATTTCTTGTGATACCAGTAATTATTAACCCAATAATAAATCTTTCTTTCTCATTGGCTTTTTCAGGACTTCCACGTCAATCCAAAGCATTTTCCCGCGTTTTTCCCCCTTGGAGTATGCGAGGGATTTTGGTGGGCGGCTGTCACCATGACAACAGTAGGGTAAGTGCACTGCCACTTTAAATAATCTTAATTATCTATACATAAGATAATGATGATAATAGAAATATGTTATATATATAATCATCATCATGATCTATATAATACATAATGATCATGGACGAGATAATGACAATGACGATGATAACGATGCGAGTTGGGGTGATGTCAGGCTCTCAGCATGAGATAATCTGATATTTTACACATATATTGTCAGAGCATGGAGATGTCATGCAATGCGCGTTTAAGAATAAAATTATTATYGTTAAATTATTATTATATATGTTATTTAAGGTACGGCGACAAGGTGCCAAAGAGTGTAGGTGGACGTTTATTTGCAGTAGTGTGGATAAGTGCAGGGTTAGTTATCCTCGCGATGTTTATGGGAATCGTCACAGCCTCGTTGACATCAAGTGGTATAGGACAAATCAATCATCTTTATGGTTTAGAGGTAAGATGAAAAAAGTCAATGAAAATATAACCCACACCTCTCTCCGTTGTGACTCGCTATTCTTGGGGTGCAGTTACGTCATAGCCGCCATGTTGGTTGAGGATAACAAAGAATTCCCTCGTTATTTGGGGAAATTTAATAACTAATTTCCCTCGTGCCACTTGTGGTATTACTTACATTTATAAGTATTTTGAGTCACGTGGTTGAACCCCAAGAATTGGTGTCGCGATGATCTGGGACCGACAATAATAATGGCGAGGAGGGAAACTAACCAAAATGTCTTAGGTGTAAAAAATTAAATGAAAGCAGCGCACGCGCCAAAATATAAACAAAGCTGTATACAGTAAGTAAGCGTACTCCGGCCGTCTTTCATGTGCGCATCGATAAAATTGGTCCAGAAAGCTCTTTAGACGAATTGACTCCAATAAGAAGTCCTTTGCGTGAGAATTGATTCACTAATTTCTCATGAGCCAGGATGCATTTCGTTTTGACTCATTAGCATCATTGCCACGTGCAGTAAAAAAGGGTTGCAAACTATTTTATTTATTCAAATAAAGTCGGCCCTAAAGTCGAGAATAAGAGTCCATGCAATTACTTATCGCATTGTTTGAAAGCACATTGGAAAGGATAACAACATGCTAGCTAGCCATGGCAGCCATCTTGAAATAAAACTTGTAAATAAACATAAAGTTGGTTATGTTTTGGAATATCTATAAAGCATATCCTTTGAGAGTCAAACGATTATAAAATGTATGACTTTTTAAGCCATGAATTCAAACCATGCATGAGTTCTTTCTATATGTTTAACGCAGTAAATAAACACGAATTTGGTCAAGTTTTGAAAGAACAATATCTATGAACCATATACTTTGATGACACGATAGTCGAGGCACACTTTACGTAATTCAATAGAAACAACAAAAGACCCCAATTATACAAGAGAACCAAACTAACAAAGAATACAATAGGTTTATATTACATGCAAAAGACTAAAAATATTTAACTTTTTATGACATCTTCAAACAAGGCATATGTTTTATAACACAAAAATTATCTTACCTGGTAAACCGGACTACTCGAACATCCTCGATATTCTCATCCTAACAGTTAAGCTTCTACATAAATCCCCAGGTTTCTGCCATCAATGGGTCAGCTGAATATCAGTTTGCTATCCTCCAGAGTGCTTATGTACAAGGTAAGTGTAGATGGACTTCCTTTATGTTTGTGTGTATTAGTCGTTCCGAGGATGAGAAAAAAACTGGGTCGAGTTTGCATTACAGTGAATTGTGGGACTCGTGAGTATGGCGTCATACCCATAATGCACTGTAATGCAAACTCGACCCAGTTTTTTTCTCATCCTCGGAACGACTAATACAACCAAACATTACAAACGCTACATTTTTTGACTTGCAGAAGTACGTATCATTCCCTTGGGAATAAATTTGCTTGTTCGTTTTATTCTTCTCCTTGGTTAATAAAGAAACAATAATGAAGAGAATGACGCGTGGGGTGAAATTCGAAAGCGTAGTGGAACTCTATAACGGCTATTTATTGGTAAAATGTAAAAAGTATGTGTAGAATGCCTTTCTTCCCGCTTATCCGGCTCCAATTTTCGTGCAAATCCAAACGAATCCTAAAACACTCTTCTTTGCTGAGTCTGTAGGAAAAGTGGGAATGCTCGCAGTCTAAGTATGTGCAGTCTCAAGTAGATTGTTTACTTGGTGCAAAGCGACGAATTTAACACCATTTTTTATGAAGATTGGTAATAAAAATAAATTAAAAGTTAAAATCCGAACAAATGTGACTACACTCATGAAATAACGAGATAAACATGGCTCTTTCCTACCTCCCCTCCCTCTCACAGTTGTCACCTGACTGATATTTAATATTCTCTGATTCTCTGTGATTCGTAGCTCAAGATTCCTACACTTCTGTATATTCCAGTATTGCGTCTGGTAAACCAAAGCTCGCGCTCGTGGATCTTTACGCAACTACTCAACACCAAAACTTCTTTTCCCGCCATAACTTACGAGTTTCCATGGYGATCGAACAGGAATTGTCTTACGGTTTGGTCTTACCACAGGGAACCCAAAATTTACACCAATGTTTGCGAGAATATAAAGAGGCCTATCAGTTTCAAAGCTATTCCTATATTCAAAAATATCTAACTAAACATAAGGTATTTATTATTAGCCATGATTCATCTTATACCTGTGAATAGAACCTTTCAGGCTTACAAATTCAAATTCAAATTCATTCAGGCTCAGAATTCAAGTAATTCTCTTGTTAATTATTTTTTTCTTATATATATCTTTACATATTCACTTTTCTTGAGCATCATTTCTTTCTTTACCACCACTACTTGCGAAAATAAAGACATTAATAACAACAACATATCTCGAGCAAAGTTTCTACGTTTTAAGAAGCTTGATTTGGGAGATGTAGTATACACCTCTTGTAGCACTTTGGAATGTAGCTCAATCTGGGGGACAAATCAATAGGTTCCAATTCTCAGGATATTGTATGGAATGCTTCTTTTTGTCCTCCAGATCGAGATGCTTTGACGTCACATGCAAGGGGTCTATTGACTAGTATTACTCATGAAATAAAGAGAAATTTACTGACGAGACAATTGATTTTTTAGATTCCAGATATCAGTGATGGTACAGAATATTTCCATGGTATTTTTGGATACTCCGTCTACGCAATGACCGGGGTCTTTATTTTGATATTAGCGGTAGGATTCTGGTGGCAATATTATTGGTTAAAGAGACGAGGCGAGTGGAAGGAAGAGAATGGTTAGTATTATTTCCAAGATAGCGTCTTTTTTGTCGCATAAAACATTCACACAATGCACTGCAATGCCAACTCGACCCAGTTTTCCCCTCAACCTCGGAAATTGCCAATAAGGCCATTGTAGCACGTGTCTTCCTCTGCAATTCATGGTGCGCGCAACGTTACAGACTGAACTGAGTTGATTAGAGATCTACGTCTGAGACGTTCCGTGCAATAAGTTTAATCGTGCGAGCAAAAACTGCGACGTTGCTGGCAATGCCATGAATTTTTTAGCCACTGAAATGCAAATGTCTCATGTAGTGTGGCTATAGCTAGTATTGTGGACTTTTATGATGCAAGGAGAGTTGCTACGTGTGACATAACTCGAAAACTCAATCACGCAAAGGTTGACACATCTTTCAAGTTTTCAAATTTTTTTCTAGAGGAAACTACGGAATTTGAGGAATTTAACCCAGGTCATTTATGAGGAGTTAGTAAAAGGAAATCTAGGGAGCGGGTGTGAGTTTCTCTAAGGCTTGAAAAGAGAACGCGTGATCTAGAAAACGTGTTGTCCGTAAAAGGGAGGATATCGTATATGCACTCTATGGACGACAATAACAAATCCTGAATAATTTTTTTGCAGAAGACATTGATATGACAGAACTAGAATTATCCACAATGGGTCCCTACCATTGCTCAAAAACACAGCATATACCTCAAGTGTGCAATAGCTCTACGGTAAACCACTGGTCCAGTTACATGATGGCTCAACAAAGCACACAGATACAAGGACTGATAGATGAATACATGTCTTATGAAGGAAACTGGACGAGACGATTTGAATCCCTCCAGACAAAACACAGAAGAGAACAAGTTGAAATATTTAACTTAGATAGAAATGGATGAGAGGTTTAAAGGAGAACTAAGGCCTAGGACAAACGTCCAACTTTCCATGCACCGAACTCATTAAAAACAATGGATATCAGGTGATAATGAGGCGGCATTCTTTGATGCAATTAAGTTCGGTGCATGGAAAGTTCGACGTTTGCCCTAGGCCTAACAAAAAGAGAAAATCTTATTTTTGGATTATAGCAATAATAACGTAAGGGTGCCTTTAGTTATTAGACGAGGGTTGATTGTTGTCAATGGTCAATTTAGGAAGAAATTTTTCAAAGGTTTAGTTATGCTATATGTTTACCGTGAAATCCAGGTTAGAAGCCCTAGGTTATATGTATTAGGGTCTTTTGAAGGCACGAGGAAAATGAGTTTGGGAAGAAGAGGAAACTTTTACGACTGACTTACTTTTATTTTCCCAGTGAATCTCTTGCGTTGCATCAACAAAATAAATACGTGATTACAGAGGCGGACGTATAAGTTGGGGAGGGGGAGGTGGAGGGGAGAATAAAACTGGAAGGATATTTACATTAGCAGACTAGTTGTACGTTGGCTTATAACCGGGATTTTACGGTATTCAAGTATGAATCTTTTTCATCTATGTTGAATGAAAGGCAGACTGCAGACATGGTTGTTATTTGTGTTGTCTTATGTTGGCTTATGGTTAATATTTGACCAAGGGAGAAATAGTAGCTAGTCTAGGATCGCCAGGGTAAGGTGCTAGTGTTGATGACCGCACCAATCCCCCTGGTTTAATCAATGAAAGCCACCAAGATATCGTTCCTGAGTACGTGGAGGCTTAAAATATTTTCTTCTAAATTATCGAATGAAACTATAATCATAAAGTATATTCTTCTAAAATTAGCAATATAAATGATTCAATTTTTGATAATTTGAATTGCATGCTTTCATAAGTTTGATTTGTGATTGGCTAAAAGATTATGTTTCTGACCAATCAGGGTATACGATTTGACATTGCTGGTGCTTTTCATATTATATGAACCATATTTTAAGTTTTATTTTATCACCAATTACTCTATCATGTATAAATTACACACTACATCGTTATAATTATTTACTTTGCAATTATATCAATTTTGGTTAATGATTCACCAATTATAACTCCCTAATCTTACAGTGAGAGCACTCGAATCGTGTCAACACTTCGAGTTTTTCGTCACTTTTTCTAAAAGGCATACTGTAAATCATCCCTTGTCAATCGATTGGAAATAAGACTTATTTTGATCACTCGGTGTATTTTTAACTTTAGTGGGTTTGAAAGAGTAGAAAATTCAGGAATGAACCTGAACAAAAACTCGAAGTGCTGAATATATATTCGTAAACATATCATACGTTATACATACAATTAATTTCATATTAGCTGGAAATGCATTGATTTATGAAACATCATATCGTGTCCATAGATACTTAACTGTGCGGTTGATACAGGACCCGGAAGCTAGAATGAGCCCAGTGCTAGTGCTGGCACGAGTCTTTAGCTTTCCTCCCTGAAAGGGACATAAAAAAGATTTATCCCTAGGGTTAGTGGAATGAAAAATCCTGGCGCTAGCACAACTTAATCGTGGGTAAATATTTCCTGATGACAATTTTTGGCCAAAAATTCACCATCATTATCATCATCATCATCATATTTTCCCTTTAGGCGCGTTCCTGGCTTTAGGGCGCTTCTGTCTGCATGGATATGGCTGGGAATCATCATTTCCAGTACCGAAGACTCAAAGAGAAAAAAATTCCTCATTTTTTTACGGCTAGTGGATATACTTGTGGAAATACAAAAATTCCTATAAAGTTATATATTTTTAGTATGTAAATGAGAAACGCTCTAACAAATAATCTGGAGCATGAGTTACATACTTTGGTTCTGTGATCTTGCTTCTCTACCATTTTACTACTTTTGGAAGTTGATGGTGACATCATCGCCAATCAGAAAGAAAGGTGCCCAGTGTTTTGGTTCTTCGTAGTCTTTGTCTTCTCTCACATCTTTCATGGCTTGCTGCAGACTTTTACTAGCACTTTTTCCCATCTTTAAACAGGTATAAAAGCTCACCATGAAGACAAGAGTGGCTTCGTCGTCAATGCCCCACAATGAAGCCACTACAGCACGAGCCCCTGCAGCGAGAAACCCTCGACTGATACCCACAATTCCTTCTGCTTTGATTTCCCCTCGTCCACTATGACAACAGCTCAGGACAACCAGTTGTGCTCTGATACGAGTTTCTTGTACTTCTTGCATGGTCAACAAGTATTTCTCTTCTTCTGGGATCTTCCTTGCTCCAGTTAAGGTGCCTGGTGCAAGTACAATTTCTCCTTTCGTGCTTCCATGAGCTGCAATGTGGATAACAGCAACTCCTTCATGTAATCTTTGCTTGATGAAATCTTTAGTTGCTTGTGCTCCTAATAGTGGCTCAACACCTAGAATGTTACCGATGACTGTAGCCTCACGTCGTGCTTCTGGTAAAGGCGAAAAAGTTATTTCTTGCCCTTGAAACATTACAGCTCCCGATTCTGGAGCTCCAACTACGAGGGCGCCAGTTTTGCTGTGGTAATCTGATGGGCATTCTTGTAAAGATTTCAACGTTTTCAATGAAGGAACCAGGCGAATACGCTTCATTTCGGACAGGAAAAGACCCGTTTCTGGATCTCGTAATGCTGCGAACGGCACCATGTGCAGAGGTCCATCGGGAACTATAACCACATCTTCGTGTGCAAGGTTCTGCATCACAGGAGCTATCAATTTACTGTAAAGGATTTCGAGTGGATTTGTATTACCTTCAAAATTTTTCTCTCTGTTTGGTGCCATTTCGCGCTCGTTTTGGTCAGGTGCACTGTTGTCCCCCTCTTTTTGGCCATCACCTCTGACTAAACAGTCATCACTCTTAATCAGCTGCACACTTTCAGGCAAGTGATCTAGTGATCTATCCTCGCACCTCAGGACGCTTCTGACATTTATGGCATCGTATGCTGCAAACACAACTTGAGGAATAATTTCACTCTCGTTATTACCTTGTGATATTGGTAGTTGCCTATATTCAAATCCTTGTGGATCCACTGCAAGAAAAAATGGTGGCTTTTGACGAGCCAAAACCCAAACAGCCACGGTATGGAATAATTGTAGTGCGAAATACAGAACACAAAATTCATTTTTTCTTGCATGAAAAACGGAGTCAACTTCGGCGTACGTTTGGATGACATTGTTGCCATATTGTGGAAATTTACTGTATTTCGTTTCCAATAAATCACTTAGAGCTCGAGCCCTGCCACGATCAGAGACAACAAGAGCTTTGTCAATCTCTCCTGTTTCAATCAGTACATGTGTTAGGAGTTTGTAAATTTCAATGAAAGTATCCATTATTGATATCTTGAAGTTGTCGCGATCATGCAAAATATACTCATCAAAAATACACTCACAGCAATGGAGAGACTGTTCAAGATACTTTATGCATCTTTTGATGAACATATCATGGACACAATGCATTTCTTTAAAGCCGGCTGTTTGAAGATACAAACAACCCAAATTATGGCAAGCTGATAGTTCGGCATGCTTGTTTCCTAAGATGATACAGCAAGTCTTAACGCTTTCTCATAATGATCAAAAGCCTTCGTGTGTTCCTTGCATTTTTGATATAAGTAACCAAGGTGAAAGTATGCATTCATTTCAATTTTCTTGCTGCCTATCTCTTTGGCAATTACTAGTGATCTTTCGAAGCATTTCAGTGCTTCGTTGTCCATGTCTTGCATTAAGTAAGCACGCCCCATATTCTTGACAGAGTAACCTTCTCCTTTCTTATCACGTATCTCTTGTGTTATGTTCAAGGATTTTTTAGAACAATTCATGGCTTCTTGGCATTTACCTTGCTCTGTATAAACATCGCTCAGTCGTATGTAGGCACTCGCTTCCCCTTTTCTGTCCCCTCTGTTCTGACAGAGGCTTAAGCCCATTTGAAAATACTTTAATGCATTATCACTGTTACCTACATTTTGATAGAGGTTTCCTATGTTACCATAAGTTACTTGAAGTCTTACTACGAGCCCTGTCTCTCTCAGAAGATCCAAAACCCTTTCATAGCATTGGAGAGTTTCATGGAATTTGCCCAATTCAATGTAAATCACTCCTAACTTTTCACGGGAAACCAATTCATGCTCTTTGTTCCCCGTCTCTCTGGCAATGCTTAATGCCTCAAAAACTGCTCCTTTTTTTTCATAAACCAAACCTTTGCTGCTTTTGACTCCAAGTTCTTTGGCTATGCTAACGACCTTTTTTAGATAGCCCAAAGCCTCATCGTGTCTTCCAAGAGAAGAGAAAGTTTCTGCAATTCCCAAGTACATTCTTATCTCAACGTCTTTACTGTTTGTCTCCAAAGCAATTTTCAAACATTCGTTAAAGTATGCTATGGATTCAAAATCACTTACTGACTGACTGCAGGTTCCTAAGTTGCCATAAGCAACTGATTGGATTTTTTTATCGCCTGTCTTTATGGAAATGGTAAGAAATTTCTCAAAATGTTTGATCGCCTCGAAATTCTTTTCCATAGAAAGATAGACAGCTCCCAAATTCCGATGCCCATAATTGATTCTCTCCTTGCAATCCATCGTCTCTATGAGGACCAGTTGCTTTGTGTAGTACTTGATTGCTTCGTCAACTTTGCCTAAAGACTTGTAGGCTTTTCCTAGATCCCCGTACAATGATGCTTCCCTTTTAGCGTCATTGTTATCTTTGACTAAGTGAAGAAGCTTCTCATAATATCTAATAGCCATGTCGTGCTTTCCAGACAAGTGGTAAATCATACTTAAGCACTCATAAACACATTTTTCTATTTCTTTATAAATCATTATTGAAATCACTGAAAGATACAATTTTCCAAAAGAGATGTTTACCATCGCCTGAGTAGAGCAGGTGTCCGCAATGTATTCAGCTATGACCAAACTCTCTTCATTAAGAAGACGAATCAATTGTTGGTTTGTCAAGTTCAGGTACCCCTTTAGTGCACATCTTATACAGAACGGAATAAAAAGCATAAGCTTCCAGTCTTTCATGATTAGACGTAAAGACCAAGATTAGCTATATAGTGCTTTTCCGTTTGGCAGTAAATATTTTCCAAGTAGCCTTGAACAGAAGCTCGAAGATTAATACTAACCAGATGTCCCTTTTCTACAGACTACGGGTCCATCCAAGTCTACAATAACTAAATATACATTATGGAAACCTGGTTTTGATTTTCGAAAGAGATAGTTGATATATCTGATTCTTTCTCAAAAAGCAATTAGGGAAATTTCCCTCTTCTAGATTCTACGTAAACACAGTTACCCAGATCACTGATGATACTTGATCACCCTCCGTCGTCACGCGGAACGCCTGCTTTGAATTGACTTAATGGCGCAAAGAATTTTACAGACCTCTTTTAAGAAGATAATATTTATACCACTAGCACTAAACATCATTCAAAATTGTCGCTCATCTAATTCTCTCATCACTAAAGCTTTCTCATTGTATAGTAGTGGCATCAAAGGTACTATGGAACAGGAGAAAGGTATTCATGTTATTGATGTGAGGAGTGATACTGTTACGAAACCAACTCCAGAGATGAGACAAGTTATGGCTAATGCTGAGGTCGGTGATGATGTATTTGGTGAAGACCCTTCAATCAATAGTAAGTTTGAACAACAAACAATGAATGTGTATATATAATAATGTAAAAAATGCTCAATGATTAACTACATGGTTTATTTTATGTAGGTCTTCAGGAAAAATCTGCAAAGCTGCTTGGAAAAGAGGCTGGTTTGTTTGTTCCCTCAGGATCCATGGGAAATATTATTTCCAGTATGTATAGAAATCAAAAATACCATTAATAATATTTGTTACCATATTTGTAACTGCACTGATGAAGAGTGGGGGTTAAAAGTACAATTTCAGCTACCTGCAGGGATGGCAGAGCGAGGGGGGCAAGGAGGAAGGTTACACTATCCCCCCTTTTATGAGAATGACATGCAGACCTGAAAGACCAGCTATTAGCTGATGAAGGAATGCTGATGTTAAATAAGTGCTATTAAATTACATTTATTGTATTAGGAATTTTTTCCCTTTTCAGTCATGGCACATTGTCCTCATCGTGGTGATGAAATTTTAGTTGGAGATAAGTCTCACATATGTATTTGGGAGCAGGGCTCCTGTTCTCAGGTAATATTATACTAGTAAGCATAAGTCTTAGACTAAGAGTGTAAGGGGGCAAAATATCCAAAAATTATCCATACCCCCCTCATGGAGAAATTTTTTAAAGACACTCTACTCCCCGGAAATTCCAATTTTCTTCCATACAAACTCTGTAATTTTTGTTCTTTCTCTGACCCCCCTACTCTTCAGAAATTCCAAATTCCTCTGTGGGGTGGGTAGGGATGATTTCTGGAACTACACAATTAGCAAAACCAGGAGAGGATTTACCGTCACCTTTCCCTAGCTTTGAAGTCTGTGTATTTAGCAATGGTACACTTTTCATATTACCCCTAATTTTCATTACATAATATATGAACTTCTTAAATATATATATTTATATATATGATTGTAATCCACTTTAGATAGCAGGAGTGCATTCCAGGCAAATTTACACCCATCCCAATGGAGAATTGGACCTTGAAGACATGAAAAGCAAGATATATGATGGACAGGATGATCACTTCACTCACACAAAATTGATCTGCCTGGAGCAGACTCACAATTACTCAGGAGGTTCAGTTCTTTCCCTTCCATATTTAGAGAAGGTAATGATTGACAGCTGAAACTCCACCCACTTTCAAATTATTTATCCCTAACACCATCAATGATGCACCTATAAGAGTTTGAGTGCATTGATCCTTATTATTTAAAAATCATGTATACATGTATTAAATCCAGGTGAAAGAGATTGCTACTGTTAATAACTTGTCACTTCACATGGATGGTGCAAGGCTTTTTAATGCTGTAGCAGCTCTTGGTGTCCCAGCAGCAGAAGTTACCAAGCATATGGACTCTGTCACATTCTGCCTGTCGAAGGTGATTCTTTGATATTTGTTACTCCCTGCAGGCTGTAGTAGTCACAGATTTCCCTCAAATAATATCTGGGCAACAGGGATAACTTCCATCTTACCACTATTTTCATTGCTATGAGATGATTGAGACAACATTTGCGACATGGGAATTAGGCAATAGTTTGTCATGAATCAAAGAATTTAAAGGTTCCGAATGATTTATTTGATTGACATTAGTCTGTTGCCTGATTTCTCTGTCCCTACTTTGGTCTTGATCAGCATGTAACAATGAATTAAAATAGTGTAAACACCAGACATGCATATCTTTACAAAACTTTGCCGACTTCCTCATGTATGAACAGTAATGTATAAACACACAAAAAAACAAATTTGGTGTGTTACCAATATTTTGACTCAAGTATCATTGGTAAAATAGGCTCTTGGCGCTCCTGTTGGATCAGTAATTGTTGGTTCCAAAGAGTTCATAGCGAGGTATTTTGCTTAATAAACTTATAGTGAATGAATTGTTATAATAATATTGGCTTCCAGCTCATGATTGTATAGGCCATACAACACAGCCACTTATGTTGTTAACATTACTTATATACTGGATGTCTTGTTTCACAGGTGCCACAGACACAGGAAAGCCCTAGGGGGAGGTATGAGGCAAGCAGGTATAATAGCTGCAGCTGGTATCTATGCACTTGATAATATTGCACCAAAGTTGGTGGAGGATCATACAAATACTAATAGGCTCGTTCAAGGTAAGGTATTTCACTTTTAAGGTTTAATGTGTGTGCAACCACTGATCCATGATAAATATAAAGAGGAAACTATATTCTTTCTAGGTTTACAAAAGTATTAGTCTTTAGTTGACAGTTTAACACAAATCATTCAGTCTTTAATATCACAGATGAATACCCCAAAGGTATACAATGGATTTTTTTGCATAAGAAAAAATTGGCTATTGTTCTGTCCCCAAGAACAATAGTGCAGCGCACTGATTCTAAAAATAACTTAAAGATTCTGACAAACATTGCATTCTGTTTAACCACTACAAGGATTATATGAACTGATTTTATTATTTTTACTTAAAGTTACAATAATAACCCATGTAAACTAAGATCAACTGTGATCGGCTGTGAAAATTATCTGCTGAAAGGGTAAACTTGTAAGTTTGTTTGTCCGAATTTCGCCTGTCTTCGTTTTTATGGCGTCACGGTTGTGCTGCGCTATTCCTTCAGGAATTCAATGTAAGGGGTCTATTGCATTTTCCAGAATGCCTTTTAGCACCAGCCTCTATGTTTTTAACCCCTCAATAATTTTACAATCAAGTGAAATCACTATCATCTTCATTTGCAGGGCTAATGAAATTGAAAGGCATTGATGTGGACCCCAAGGAAATACAATCAAACATGGTGTACTTGAATGTCACTCACGACAGCCTTACAGCTAATGACATTGTGCATGGAATGGGAACTTGTTCAGATAATGAACCACGAAAAGTCATTGTGAAACTTCTAGCCATTAGTGCCAGAAGAATAAGAATTGTATTCCATCACCAAGTACAAAGTAATGATGTAGAATTAATTATCAATAAGTTGAGATACATTTTGCAATCTTAAATTAACATTTTGCAATCTTGGAATCATGATTATTCTACTTTGAATTCATACTTTTTACAAAATGAAATGCAGACAATGTTTGAAATAAAAATACTAGAAACAAAATTTCAGATGATAATCCCAAGTACCGAACTAAATAATACTAAATATTGTGTTATTCCTCTTTTCTGTTCATGATGAGTCGGAGGTGATTGATCGTATGGCCAATACAACACAGACACAAATGTTGAAAACAATTTGTGAAATTCTGTGAATAATTCATAATTCCTTTGGGACATTTTGAATTCATATGCTAATTAGATACAGCCACTAGTGCTGTATCAGAACAGTATACATCCACCAGTGACATCTAATTAGCATTTTCAGCATAAGGTTGGTATCAGGTTTACACGATATTCATGTGACCTGATATCTAAAGCTGTATTGGCTTAGACCCTCATTAATTATTCATGAATTTTACAAACCAATTTTTATAAGTATGGGAATTTTCATAATTATTATGGATAACTAGAACAGTACCATTCAACTGGCTGTTGGCAATTTGACAAGCAAACCATATCTTGAATTTATAGCTAATGTGTCATGTAATTATGAGAATAGTTCTGTTTTATAGTTACGAGATTCTCATGTTTGTTCTTTACACTCTAATGCAAAGATTTATTTCTATCAGGGGGTCGTTTTTACTCCACTTTGAGATGCACAAATTCAAAGCAGCTTAATTGGCAGATGTTGAGTTCGTACATAGTGTGGGACAGTTTCATATTGTTTTGATCAACTGACCTAGCATGTGCAACGACAAAAAAAGATTTATTCTGGCTGTATGGAAGGTGGATAGCACTATCTGATGGAAAAATCCTTATCCAGTGGATACGTTGATGCTTAATTTAACTGTCAGATAGTCTTATCCACTCTTAGTAAAACTGGCCCAAATTTACACAGAAGACAATAGACTCTCAGCATTTCAATAATTTTACTTTTATTCTGCAAAGATTTTGAGTTGCATTTTTAAAACACTGCTCTTTTGATAGAAACAGGCTTTCATTCAGGTCTGATGGGTGTCCAACAACAACATGAAAGAGAAAAATAGAATAAAATGTCAGTTTAGTGCAGATAGATCTTCACAAATATTGCTTGATCAGCTCATAAAAATCTTTTGATCTTAATATCTGCTCCAAATGGTGGTCAAACACTGACCACTGAGTGGTATCAGGCAGAAAGAATTATCAAAACTCATGATTCAAGTGATGAACATTTGGCAATGCTGACATCAAATTAAACCCAACATTTTGATATATATATATATATATATATATTCGAGGATACACCTATTGGCACAGAATCTCAAGTTAAAGGAAATCACTTCAAAGAACACTTAAGATATTCTAAAGGTATAGTAAATTCATTTCATTCAGAGCATGCAAATCTTACCTAATCTTCGTCTTCCTCCTCCTCACCACCAGATCCACCTGACTTGTGCTTCTTGGCATTCTTTCTCTTTACACGACCAGGTCGTCCACCTCCATATGGAGAGTTGAGAGAGAAATCTATATGCTTCTGTGAATCCAGACGCACAATGAAGGATGGGACATTGACAAGTTGCTTGCGGACACTAATGAAATAGGGATATATTAATGATTTCTATACTACTGTAATACTCTCTAAAACCAGTAGAGTGGGAAGAGGGTGGTTATGGTCATGTTTCAAAGCATAAAAAAAACACAAGGGTACAGTTAAACAGATATTTTGTGAAGGATGTATTCAACAATATATTGAATTTAGTTAAACTTTAGTTCCAGGTATATGAATAGTTGGGAGAATCATGATCAGCTGCTGGCCCAGTTGAGAATGTTTAGGAACTGTGTTAAAAATCAGTGCATGTTAGCTGGTTAATGGACAATGTATGATCAGAATTGAAACTTGTCTGATCAAATCTTTACCATGCCAGTCACTGTGACCAGTAATCATGGACGGTCATTATTTCAAGGCCTGTTCCTGATATGGAGTCAGGTATAGCGATGATGAACATTTTTTTAATGTGAAGATATAACTAGCTAAAAACTAGTGTGAGCTGCGTCGGTGTTTCTAATGAAACAGTAATGATAAAAGGGTAAATTATACACCGTGAAAAGATGGAAAAACTTACTGACGTTTCGGACGCTAGTCCTTCATTGGAGTGAGAGAGTTTTTTAACGCCACATACCATCACCTTCAAGGTTGGTTTCCTCAAAGGACATAATTTGTTACCTGTGTTGTAAGACACCAACCTTGAAGACAACAGTGCTTGCAAATGGTCTTTAATTTAATACTAACTATAGATGAAATCTATGACAGACATTGCAGCTCAGCTAATTTGCTTGGATTGGTGTGGGGTGGGGGGGGGGCATATAAATATCACAAATACGAAATTTAAAACTTGAAAAGTTGTAAATATTTAAGCAGTATTGAAACTTTATTGGAAAAACTATGCAATTATGGAGGACAAACTATCATTTCCTAACTGAAAAATTCTTTATACGGTTGAAAAAGAAACGACACTAAGAATCCTTGAACATTGAATAACTACAAATAAAAATATTCAAATAAGAAGATATGGTTGTATTTTATAGCTAGTTTTGATAAGCTAACATGTGTTTCATACCTGAGATTGACTTATTTTTTGGGCCCTAATTTTAGTGTAAATCTGTACTATAACAATAAGGGCTTCTTTAAAACCAAATAAAATTCGTATCAAATAATTTAATAGCACTTTTAGTTAAAATTTTCATAGTTGTACTACTGTACTTACCGAATGTGTCTTTGCCTAATCAAGACACGGGCATGGTGGATGGACTTAGCCAATCCAAGTTTGAACACTTGTGTCTGAAGCCTCCTTTCTAAGAAATCCTCGATACGAAGACCCAAAACGTAATCGAGCTTCATCCTGCTCTCATCAAGCACTCCAATACGTACAAGACGACGTAAAAGAGCGTTTCCTTCGAAGAGACGACGAGGGTCTTTCTCTTCTAAAGTAAGAAGCTCTCGAGCTGCCTTACGGATTTTAGCCAAGGACAGCTTCACACGCCATACTTCGCGCTTGTTTCGGAGTCCATACTCTCCAATGATCTTTAATTCTTGGTTCAGACGCTCTTTCTCGAAGGGCCGCCTTGGTGTACTGTAGGTTTTACTGCATACTGGTTGAGGCATCTTGTTCTTGGACCAAGATGGCGATCAAAAGGAAATAGCGAGACGACCGCAAGGCCTTTCTACACGTGGTGGAACACCATTACTACTAACCCCCCTCTTACAAGTACACAGGAAACCCAACATTTTTGCACACTGTTTGATCGAAAAATCTGTTTAAAAAATCGAAAATATTTTAGAAATTTGTAATTACTCATGAAAATAAAGCAAGTGCTGCTCCTCCGTACATCTTAATTGTCAAAAAGTCCATAAAAAGTTTTGAGGAGATTTTGATATACGTCCTCGACCTCATACCCATATGGTAACACAGGTAGCCCATCGAACCAAAGGCGCGTCAGAATGGCAAACAAACGACAAAATCATTGAAAAAGTCAAATCTACTTTCACTTTCACATTAGAGGAAGACATTTAAAAGGTGGGCGATTTAGTAGGATAATACTTGTTATAGTACTGGTTTAAGAAAATTTCACAAGCATTTTATAGAAATCTCAAGGTTTACTGTAAAATTGTATTGTCCAAACATTGAGGAAATTCGCATTTATAGTGACATTTTTTTGAAAGAGTGTTTTGATATCCAAAGATCTGCCATTACTGTTCGAGAATATCAGCGCACGAAAATCGTAAAAACGTTGTATTTTAGCAAAAAGAAGTACACAGAGTTAAGAGTAAACTGAACTTTATTGATGTCCTTGAAGCAAAGTAAAAGCTTGAGACTCCTGGGACGTATGAAAAACATAAGACGTTGCCTTAATTTCCTAGAAATGCGATGAGACATGTACAGATCGATCTCAAAAGCTTCCCTTGTTTCATGACACTTAATGCGGCTATATAAATACCTATATAACTTATATTTTATTGAATTAGGTCAAAATGCTGAATAAATTCAGGGCTTCCATGGTGTTGAGTGCTGTTGGGGATGCACTGGGATACAAAAATGGAGAATGGGAGTTCTGTTACAAAGGGTCTGCAATCCATGAAGAACTGCAGAAGCTTGGTGGTTTGGGGAAAATAAAGGTGGATAAGAAAAACTGGAGGATCAGTGATGACACTGTACTGCATATTGCGACTGCTGAAGCGCTTATTTCTGATTGGTCTGACAAACATCAACTCTTTCTTGCATTGGCTCAAGAATACAAGAATGGCATGGTAATTGGATTATAGATTTAATAAATGGACAGGGTTGGCTGTCTTCAATAAATGTTCTTTCCAATCTCAAGTTATCAATAGGTGGATGTCAGGCAGTGTTTGCCTGTATTATTTATGATCAAAATTCATCCAGCTGATTAAAGTTACCGAGACCAATATGAATTCATTTAGCATTTCTCATGAGCTGTTCATTACATGTAGGATGCATTCATGGAGATTTTACATTTTGTAATAACATTCTTGATGTACCGGCACTCAAGCATAACATATTTTTCAGTGATACCTCTCTCCCAACTAGATACATTTGGCTTTAATAAATATTCTCGATAGCTTATAGCTTCCCCTAATGGTTACTGGAGAAAATGGCTGGACCCCCTTCTTAATACCAATAGCCCCCCAACCCCATAAATTATGAATGTTCTGTAATGAAAAAATATACCACTTTGGGCTTGGAATTGTGTTTGAATATCCATTTGAGGGTCATGTAAGGCTTTCACACTAGAAAGTATAGTAGTGATTTTTTTAAATTTAAATTATTCTAGAGAGACATGTGGGGACGAGCGCCCGGTGGAACCACACAAGCAAGTTGTTCAAAACTCAGTCCACTGAGGCCTGATGGGTATATAGTACCTTTTGATACCCGTGGGGGTGGATGTGGGGGAGCAATGAGGGCTATGTGCATTGGTCTGCTTTATTATCAACCTAAGCACCTTGATGATCTGATTGAAGTTAGTGTGGAAAGTGCAAGGATGACTCACAATCATCCAACAGGTATGGATTAATCTTCCTTCCAACATGACCGTTAACATGCAGCACCACCACCAAAGCACAAGTATTACCATCACTAGCATCAACATCATCATCAGAATCACTGTTTTCATTATCATCAAACCAACTTTACCATCATTTGTCATTAATAGTAACAGCACTACCATCACACGTACTATCATCATTACTTCCACTATCATCATCATCTGAGCAGCATTTACTATCACCAATACCTTTATCATATTGGCATCATTATCATCATAAGCAGCAGCACTTGTCATCATCATCATCACCACTCACTTCTACTGTCATCATAGGCATCATTAACATTACTACAGTATCATTACATCCACAACCAACACCACCATCATCATTAGGAGCAGCATTGCTATTGCTACTACCCTCTTTAAAGGCATCATTATCATTACCATCAGCATCATCATTATCATTACATCTACCACCATCATAATATTGTCATAATTAGGAGCAGTATTAGCATTGCCATCACTACTACCTTCATCATATAGGCATCGTTATCATGCAGGGCCATCAGCATCATTACATCCACCTGGACCACCATCATCATTTATTAGGAAAAGCTTCACATTAACCACTACCATGATTGACATACATCGTGATCAGAAACATGAGCACTGTCACATTCCTCTTCCATTATCTTTTACTTTTTACTGCAGATTCTATTTCATTATATACCATCACTCATCTTGTAGCCATAATTCGTAATTATGATCATCACTTTTTGAAGAAGCATACTAGAGGCTAATAATTGGAAATGGTTATCATTAGCATTCCAATTTGCTTGCTTTTTTTCAGGCCAATACTACTGCTTAATTAACAGAACTGGCATTGCTTGTTTAAAACATTTCAGGTTTCCTTGGAGCTCTTGCAGCATCTCTTTTCACATCTTATGCCTTGCAAGACAAGCCTACAAGGGAATGGGGTGCAGGTCTTATGGCAACCATTCCAAAAGCAATGGAATATATTAAGAAAACTGGACGAGATTGTAAGGAGAATGAAGAACATTGGGCTTACTTTACAGACAAGTGGAATTCCTACTTAAAGCTTAGAGGTCTAGAAAAGGGAGACAAAGATCCAACATTTCCCAAGCGCTATTCTTGTGGTGACCGGGATGAATTTTATAAATCAGTCAGTTTCTCTGGGTGGGGTGGTGCGAGTGGTCATGATGCACCTATGATTGCATACGATGCTTTACTTGGCGCAGGGAACTCATGGGAGGAACTCTGTCATAGGGGTATGTTCCATGGAGGTGACAGCGATAGTACAGGAGTTATGGCTGGTGCTTGGTGGGGTGCCATGCATGGATTTGAAGGGGTTCCTAAAGGAAACTATGAAAAGCTAGAGTACAGGGAGAGGCTTGAAGATCTTGCCGAAAAATTGTTCAAGAAGTCTGAATCACTTAAATAAACTGTCAGATTGAAAATACATTTAATTTGTTATTTTGTTATGGCTTTGTTATCAGCTTTGTTATTTCATCATCGTTGATTTTTGGCCACAAAGCAAGTTAATTTCATTGACAAATACATTTCAGCTGAATTTTCTATTCAATAGATTCAGCATAAACAAAGGTTTACAGCAACACTGGGCAAGGGATGCATTGCTTTGCCCTTAATTTTTGCAGATATAAAATTGCTACAATTTTCTAGAAATTCTTCTAACAAATTCCTGCAAATGTGCCTAGATTTAATGATCGAGCTTATAAATTTGAAGGAAAATCATTAGTCCTTTTGGGGAAAAAAGGTAGTTGCTATGAAAAAATTTACTATGGTGCAGTACTACATAGCCTGAAACTCAGCAAGGCTTATGAATGCTACGATGTATATGAGAAGATAATACTAGTTAATAGATAGTTGACTTATTTATCATAATTTGATATGTAGCTATTGCTGATTTTATTTGACCCCTGTATAGAATTTAATAGAGAGTTCAAGTTTGGGTATTTGAGGATAAAAGCTTTCCGTTATCATTGTATGCATCTAGGAGTGAACACCTGACATCAAAACGTGTCAACTGGCTAGTGAAACTTGTATTGTACTTGTATTGTGAAATGTTGCAAGACAAGTTGCGGCAATCATTGCAAAAAAGTAGAATTAGTGTTTCCGCTGCGCCATGTTAACACTCTTGCAAGTCAGTAATGCTGCTGCAAGACAAGTTGCAGAGTAAATTAATTGCTGATTTTATATTGCACCTTTACCTTAACACATTTCTAATTTTGTCATGATCAATCTTTTGTAATGCATGGTTGGAAGAAATTATCAATGTAAAAAAAGAACGATAGAAATAGATTCTATTATGGATGGTATAGGATGTGGGTGATAATAGTCTAATAAACATAATTAATAATTCAAATTGACTATCAAAGTTTTGTTTTGCAGGTTAAATGAATACTCTGACATTTTGTAAAGTTAGGAAATTCAAAAATCTAATAAAAATATTAAATATTAAATCTGCACTGTTATTAGTGATGTCCTCTCAAAAGGGGAGCTATATGGGGATATTGTTTTTAATGGAAATGCCATCAAGATGTGGTATTTTTCAAGCACCACCTTAGGTCCTTTATCCTCAAGGGCGGATCGGGGGGGGGGCTGAAGCCCCCCTTCAGCAGAAAAAAAAGATGCTTTTTTATATCATTTTCTGTTGTGTTGATGAAAGAAACTCAATCCACCCTTGATCCTAGGTCAGGATTCCAATAGTCAAAGGAGCCTTTATCCAGAAGGCACTAGACTTGACATATGAAGAAACTGCATTTTTGGGGAAAATAAAAAATTCTCACCACATTGTCTTGCCCATGCAGACCAGATGGTTTTTGCTAAAAATTAAATAAATAAGTGCAACAATTAAAGAAATAAATTAAATATTAAATAAGTGCTAACAAATAAATAAGTGCAACACTCCAGAGAAGAGAATTTCTTTTAATACTTGCGAAATATATTTTTGGAAATTCTATAAATGCGACTCATATTTACAATTTAATATTTATTATTACTGTGATTGATTTGGGCAAATATTACTTAAAAATTAAGACCAGTTTTGACTAGAGCTAATTACAAACAAGAGGGGAAGACATGGTAGGTGGACATTTGAAAGGCTTCCCCGAAGAGCCAATCAAAAGGCACAAAAATACACACCATCCAATCAATATAGTGAATTAATGGTTTTGACTCCTCTTAGTTACCATTGCATTGTCTCATGAGCTCAAAAAAATTAGCTCTAATATTTCAGAACTCTACTGTGATGTAAAATGAAATTTAAAGAAAATTATATTGTAACTTACTGCGTAGTTTGGGAAAAGATATAAATTCCATTGGGAAAACTGCTGCAACAATACTTGGTTCGCTAATATTGTCTGATCAAACTATTAATTAGTACAAAACTCTAGAGTCAATAGCTTTAGAAGTTCTGCCTGTAGTTGATACTTTTAATGGTCCGGACAGACGTCAGTTGAATCAATGAGGATTGATACATGCCTTCTAACCAGTCATTGATAGTATAAATATTAAAGCTACGTAAGGTGTATGTTAAAAATGCATTAAATATAATATTTATGACTGTATAAAAATGTTTTACATCCAGCTGATGTAGTGACCTCAAAAGGATCGAATAAAATTCAGTTTGGGTCTGAAAAGGTGTTCAATATGTTGTTCAAAATGAGTATTTGTTGGTGTGATAAAATGCTTGTGTCTGATTGGTTGAAAAGTGTGTGGTACACACAAAGTTGAAGGAATATGAATAGATAGACTATATTATTGACTACTTCACTGCCCTCATACTGATTCAAGAATGCATCCCATTGTTGAAGACCAAACTTGTGATTACCATAGTAACAAGGTCTTGTTGGCATCCTAATAGTAATACAAGCTCTCATTTTTTGACAGTATCTTGAGTTATATGTTGCTTGGCAACCCTGCTTTATCATCGATGGCAAGAGTTTTGAGCCATCACAAGCAATAAGGCCAGAGATCATCAAAGCAATGATCACCACAGAAACAACTTTTTGCTACTGTGGTGATTTCGGTAACTGGGATTCAGGGTTTGACTGTGGAATTTGGACATCACAGTGACGAAGGTGACAATAAGAATTCCAGATATCCCTCTTCACCAATGATTCGCTTGCACTGGTAGTCATGGTAACATTGTTGCACTGTCAATGCACATTGTCATGGCAAATAACAAGAGCTCCCCAGAGATTTCTCATCAAGGATCATTAAGATCCACAATACAACACGAGACCTCAAGCATTATGCTGAGGATAATATGTTTGAAATACAGTCTCTTGTTTGCATATGCTTAATGTATCATAAGTGTGTATAAGCAATCGGGGAAATCTACTAGTAAAATACTGCACATAGCCATCAGGAATTGAGCCCAGAGCTGTTCTAACGTGTTCTGGTAATTCTCTATAATGATGTTTCTGAAACAGAATAAGAATATAACCAAATGTTATTGATTGCAGATTTTGAAAAAAAGGGTTTGAAACATATGGTGAACACAAGTACCTTATTTCTCATTGCTCTCAGTAAATCTCGAAGATGAGCTCCTTTGTATGTTCTAAACTTGCGAAGATCTGTTATCAATATCAATCAGAGACCAATCAGTCAAATAAACTTTTGTCTGTCGTTCAACAGGAAATTGAAAAATGATATAGCAAGTTTATAGGAGAAAAATGGGTGGCAATGATTAAACAATTGATGGTTTGTGCCATTCCAGAGGAAGTGAAAAAACAAAGACATGGCAGCCACGCTTGTGGTAATAAGAAAGGAAGCTAATGAGGATTTAAGAAAAAAGTACCAACATGGCTACCATGATATTTTATCATATTGTGACAGTACCTTCTTGTAGCTCAGAGCCTATGTGTACTTTCCAGTCCCCTCGCACCACTGGGATAGAATCCTTTTGTAATGCATTTAGTAATGGTGAGTCATCAGGCTCTTTTTCTATTCTATCACTAACATCCTGCAAAATAAAATAAGCTGTGTTTCAATTCGATGAAAAGAACAACCATAGCAAAATTAATTAACCACATACTACACGTGGTTCTCTCAGCTACTAAATGCAAATGAGGGTGTAAATCACCATGGTGATAACAGCATACCAACTGACAAGGGTTGGCACAGCTTTCTTTAGCTTTGCTACACTAAAACAATAAATTAGGACCAGTGGTTACCATGACAAGTTGTCATGGCAACCAAATACACCTTATTACACATATATAGATCCTACTCTACCCTAATATATCTAAAGTGCTATTTATCATCCAACTAGTTTTAGTGACTCTGACAGTTAATCACCCGCACAGTAAAATATTTGTAGAGTGCAAAATATCTTTTGATGTCCGTGCTTGGTCCAGACTTTGTTCTACGATCTTTGTACTATACTGAGTATAGTGGGATTATGATAATTTTTGTTATTGCATTACCTGGAAAAATGCTAGCTGTCTCTCTTTACTCCAGAATACTGGATGTTTGAGAATGGATTCAGTTGTGGGTCTGTCAATCAATAAAACGAAATCATGAATCTTTCACAAATATTTTGACACTGTATATGGAGCCAGTGATAGGCCTAATCTCTATCATACACACCTTTGACTAGGGTCTGGACTTAGCATGTTTCTGATGAGTTCTTTCGCTACAAAAGGACCTGAAAAAATTTCGAATATCAAGAGGTGAGGGATGTAAAGCTGTACAATGAAAAAAAAAACATGAAGAAATTGGAAAAACTAGGCAGGATGCAAGGTAAGAAAAGGTGAGGCAAGGCAGAGTCAGGCAGTGAAGGGCTGGTTGGGTAAGTAAGGGAAGGGAAGGGAAGGGAAGGGAAGGGCAGGGCAGGGAAATGGAGGGTAGGGCAGGGCAAGACAGGGCAGCATTAGAACAAGTCCACCTAATTCTTTTAAGTTTTACTTACTTTCTGTGTTGGTAATTCTATCTAGATTATAATCCCCAGCAAGGATGTTAGCTTGTCTTCTGTACTGATCACCAAATGGATGCAGCCCTCCAGACAAAACATAATAAAACACACACCCACTTGAAAAGATATCCACCGAGCGATTCTGCAAGAAAAAAAACACAGTCACATCCACAGGAAGTCCAATTTAGATAAAAGTGGTAGACGAAAATGAAATATGGAAAATATGACTTGTATCATTTATTGAAAACATTTCTACATCTTTCTGCACAGTAAAGAAAGTTAAGGTAAAAAAGATAGTTCATTAGCTGAAAAGTAGCTCCTCAGTTATGATGCTGTGCAGTGATATTACATGCAGTGGGGAGCATTTTGATTAAATCCCGTGTGCTGATTAGTTCATAGATCAGACAGAATAAGATTAAGTTTTTTATATACCCTGTTCCAGAGTAGAATCGCTGWAAACCATACCCTGTTTGGTGGAACGTACCTGTATAGCGAATATAGGGGAGTACCCCTCCCCTGGGCTGCAAAAAGAACACCAATTGCCACCTTTCATCATTTCCCTGCATTTCATTTTTACATTTGCAAACCTTCTCATGAAAGACAAGAGTTTTTTTAGGATTATTTACTACTCTTAAATATTTTTCAATTCTTTTTTTTGCTTATCAACTGAAGTTTCAGGTTCTTGTCATAATATCAGGTATTCATTCCGTGCAGCATCACCATACTTACCATTCTATTGTCCTCTTTAAACATTTCTGGAGCAATCCAACCGTCTGTTCCAATAGCACCAGATTGACAGGTTATGGAGTTGCGTCCATAAGAGAGCTTCTTACACAGTCCAAAGTCTGATATCATGGCATTGACTTTACCACTGGCATTGGCTTTGGAAATCAGTACATTATGGGGTTTGATGTCACGATGAACTGAAACAAGCAATAAAAGTATAAATATCCTACTCTCAAGGAAGAGTCATATGAATAAACAGTTTAAGGAGTGCATTGTTGCAGAAGGAGGAAATTGCCAAATACGAAAAGAAACTTGCAGTACAGGAGAAAAGAGCTTGGAGGGGCAAAATGGGAGATTTTAAGCTAACATTGAAAGTGTTTTAGATTGCGTAAATGTAATACATGAGTCTTAGAAGTATTGTTTCATTTCACAGCAATGCGCAATGCAGTAAAATAAAAAGGTGTCATACTCTTTCTCAAAGGTATTGATGATTTATGATTTATATAGCGCCCTTTCTATATGGATATAATCAAAGGTCTTTACATTAAGTGAAGGACAGATGGAATGACAGATTGCTTTTATGCAATTTACAAGCATGAGAGATGGTTAATATGAAGTGTAGGCACTGAGGGTGGTCACTGCCAGGGATTCTTTACATCCTCAGTGGTCCCTCCGATGTTGGTTAGTAATGATGAGTGTGGAGAGATGGGACCTCCATTTAAAGTGGTCATCCAAGCCACTTGAAAGTCTAACCATTTGCAGATGAAATTACAAAGGCAGCACTTTCTCCTCAGTTATTTTAAGACTCTGAGTGTTGGTCTGGCCGGGACTCGAACCACGACTTCCAGACAAAAGTCTGATGCTCAACCAACTGAGCCAACCGGTTGGTAATATTCCGTAATATGTTACAATCAAGGGGCCGTGATGTAAATGACTTTTGGGTGTAAAATAATCTAAAAGAGTAATTACCAATGTTGAGTGCATGAAGATGATCTAAGCCTGCCATAGCTTGTTTCAAGACTTCAAGGTGTGATAAACCATGGCGATCAAATCTGGGATCTTCCACGAACTGGCAAGTACAAATATATTATTATTAATATCACCACATGTATCTATGCAAGCCATGCCGCTAGGGAATTTCAATTAAAAAACTCTGTTTAAAAACATTGGCTAATCAGACAGCCCTGGTGCTTATTTTAGGATTCTGTAAAGAGTAACACTACTTCCTCCTGAGGGATGCTTGTATATTGCTTTGTCACACCCTCACAGCAGTTGTSTAACTTATCTCGAAGTGTCAGTAACCGGTAAAATAAAATAAAACTTATCCTTAGGGCACTCCACTGCATCAGATCTGTGTGTGTGAATATTTGCATTACTGTTATAGATATAATTTTTTCAGTTTCTTAAGACTGAAAGGGTAAAAAACGTATTATTCCCCTTTATACCCAGAAAGAACATCTAAAGCTAAATAAATTAATAAATTGAAATAAAAAATTGTATCAACTAACCTCCTGTAAAGTAGCTTCACACAGTTCGAGAGCAATGTATCGAAACTGATGATCTTGTTCCTGTGGAATGAGAGAAATCTTTAATTGATAAAAAAGCCCCGACACAGTGCCATCAAGCTAATGGTAGGACAAGTCCATGTCTTGAGATTTTCACAGTCATATGACATTTGGGCCGTTCACTGTTACATGTCAAGTCCTGTGTCAAATTGCATTTAAATCTTTTGATGAAAATACTTTCAATATGGTTCCAAGATGGTAACGGCATCACACGTCCGTACCATGCGATTTTCTCAGTCATAGGACATTTGTGCTTTTCATAGTTACATATTTTTAAGTGCTGTGTCATGCAAAAATAGTTTTCAAGAATCCTTTTTGGTGATAAGATGGTCTTTTTTAAATTGTCACAGGTAATCATTATGTATGTCACATTCTTCCACAATATGTCAAAGAAGTTACAAAGAGTCTACAAGAAGTTATCACAAAGATGCTATCAAACCATAATCAAGAACTCACCATGCAGAAGTATCGAATCACATTGGGATGAGCATCTGATTCTCTCAACAGTGCAACCTATGAGTACGTATTTACATGTTTGATTAATATTTAGTTCTGCAACCATAGACTTGCAATTTTTTTTCATAAGAAAACCTTTGGAAATGAGTTTTTTTGTTTGAGGGTATCCACTATTAATGTCTCTTTTAAAACTTCACTTGAAATATTTGATCATTATTGGTAAATGACATAAAAATCTATCATTTTAAAAAAAACATTATGTAAGACCTTTTTAGGATGCTGTGAGGGTACAGAATAAGATGTGGTGAAGGGGGGAGAAGAGTGTGTGGGACATGCATGCAGGGAAATGTACCTCTCTGTCTGCAAAGCTAAAACATTCAGGAAGGATTCTTTTAACAGCAACGTCTCGACCATCGAATGTTCCTCTAAAGTGATAAACAACATTTCAGAAAAATTAGCCTAGATGTCAAAAGAAACCCAACTTCCTGAAATCTGAGATTGCAATGCTTTCAGTTCGACCCTGTTGAGATACGCCACTGCTGTACTTGCAGTGGTGATTGCAATAGACTCAGTTTTTTCAATAAGATGCAATCAGTAACAATATAAATCAAAGCATAGAAGAAATCCATTGAAGCAACAATTTACCTGTAAACTACAGTCCCTTCACAGCCACGACCAAGGACATTTTTAAGACAAAACGAGATCTTGCCAATGCATATAGTACTGTTATGATCTGCAAGGGAAGCAAGCACAAATTATGGGTCATTTATTGCTTTATTATATCAGGGATATTCAGCTAGCTACTTTCAAATTGTATTATTTCATGTGCTGAAAATGGTAACAACAAAAATGAAAGATGGCTGAATGTACTGTTACTTACTAAGGTTTAATTGTTCCAGATGAGAGACGCTTCCATTTGACATGGTAGAAGAGTGGTTAGATCCATGAGATGGCTGTGATGACATGGCTGCAACTTGCCTGGTTGACCGCTATTAAGACAAATTTAATAGATATCAATACATAGCAACAGTATAACATAGCAACAGTAACTATGGCAACATCAGTAATATCTTGTTTACCATAGCAATAGTAACTATGGTAAGATCAGTAACATCTTGCGCACCATAGAAACAGTAACTATGGTAAGATCAGTATTATCTTGCACACCATAGCGACAGTAACTATGGTCACATCAGTAACATGGAAGTACCTCAATGTAGTAGACAATCATCAGTACCACAGGGATCCCAATAGTTGCAATAATCGTATAAAGCAACCTTTGATGTATCTTCATCATTTCAAACATCTCTTGTTGCCTTTTCCTCTCCTCGTCTTTAGCCTTCATATTATCAATCCTCTTGTTCATGGCTGTTGGATGCTCATGAGTGTTCATATAGAACGGCATTAGCTTGTCAGGAATGTGAGTGATGTGAAGTTGCGGTGATGCTACTTGGGGTACATGATGGTGACCAAGTAACAGAGCGGCTTTTGGCTCAAGGACTTTGGGTTGCTGGAGAGGACGTCTTGGTATGGGTAACTCCTCTTTTGAATCTTTTGATGTTGTTGATGGTGGAGAACGTTTTTTGTGCTTGGGTACTGGGATGTCACTTCTTGGACCTTCTAGAAGCATCACTTTGGGCTTTAAGAGGAAATTTTTTTCAATGATAAGCAATAATGGCAAAAAGTGCCAAAAACTAGACTTTCGTATAAGTTTGGATCCCCCTTAAAACCTTTTTTGAACAGTTAGAAAATGATGTACCATGATAAAATGCTTGTTTGAAGCGGTATTTTCAATTGTACAAAGATGTTTTGTTGCATTTCTGTTAGAATGTTGCTTTGTCAGGCTTCTTTTATAGAAAATATATGGGAAATAAGCAAATGAAGGCCTGAACTTCATTTTCAAATAAAATTTTTTGCTTTGGRTTAACACTTTGATTCCACTTTCATTGGTCATCTCAACTTCCAAACAAGTTAAATTTTCTGAATAACAAGATTTTAGACTTGTACAACAGCCTTTCTTCAAGAAAATAGTTTTTGGCGCTCACTGCTTGAATACGAAAAGAATTCTCTCTTAAACAAATAAATTATACAAACTAAATGATAATTATAATGTAAGGACAGATACAATAGGTGGGTGGTCAGGTTAGATGGATTATTGGGTAAGATGGGATGAGCTTGATTAATGGATGGATGGATGGTTGGATGGATGAATGGAATGGATGGATGAATGGATGAGTGAGATACAATGGGATGGTTGAATGGATGGATGGATGGTTGAGATGAGATGGTTGGGTTGAATAGATAAAAGGATGGCTGAGTTATGATAGGATGGTTGGAAGGGATGGATAAATGGAAAACAAAGACTTGGATAGATGGAAGAAAGGAAAAAAACACAAAGCATATATCAGAACAACACCAAGTTTCTTACCTCTACAAGAGTAGACCCCTCCTCTACCAAGGAAGGAAGAGCATAAAATCCACCAGAATGCTCACCAATGTAGAGTGTCGGCCTACAAAAAGTTAAAAAAGGAATATTTAAAAACTTTTTTATTCTTTGGTCTGATAAGCAAGTGCTCCCAATTTGTTTCTTGGTTGGTATGACAACTTACTGTAAGACCATTTTCTCTGATGATGCATTATTAGCGATTAAAACATCCAGTGTTTCCCTGGCGATATGGTTCACTTTAACCCTGTGCAGCCCATCACCATCAAACTTGTACATCCCCACCACTGGAGACCCAAAATTTTTGGTCCATTGGATTTCACCTATTTTGGTAAGGACAGAAAAGGAAATTAAGAAGTAAATGGGTGGAGAGAAGGTGGAATAACTGAATGATTGAGAAAAATGACTGGCTACTAGTAGTTGACTAACCAATTGACTGAAATGATTTTATGACTGGGTGGCTGACTTATCATGACTGACTGACCAATAATATTGTCTGACTGACTGACTGACATACAGTCTCGCTGACTGACTGACCAACTGACGGACCCACCCACCCACCAACCAATCGGTATACTGACCAACCAAACCCACTGACCAACTAACTGACTGTCTACCTGTACAGAATGGCTGTTGATGGATGCCTGAATGAAATATATAGGATGTTAAAAGGAAAACATTAATGAAAGATACCTGTGTTTCCAGCCATTGTGACGGTAAAACCATCAGAACATGAGCACATGTGATGAAATTCTACAATCGAAAAAAGGCAATAAAGAGGCTCCACAAGTGTTTAAGGTAAATTAAATTAAATGTGTGTGGCTTCTGCAAGTGAGTCATTCACTTACCATACTCAACATCTTGGGCTAAATTTGTGGAGTAATCATGAAATGTCCCGTTCCACCTGTCAACCAAAAAGACAAAACAATGTCATATAATTAACTATTTTTAAAAAATCATTATTTATACATGGCTACCACACATCTTAGACTTAAAGGGGCACTTGGATAAAAATCTGTCAAAATTGGAAACTGATTATTCCTAGTAGAAGTATTTAATGATGGGTATAGACGACTTTCAAGAACTACTCACAACCAAAAATTCTGCATTTTAAGCATTTTATCACCAAGAAATTTTGGTCTAAAAGCTAAAAGAACAATAGGGTTGAGTAAATGATGTCATTTACTCGTATACACTTTTGATCCACCTATAAATACACTTTCCAAGTTTCAAGTCATTTCCAATTTTCATCGGGCAAATGCCCATTTAAAACAGAAAGCTTGAAAAGCAAATTTTTTCTCCTGGATTTTACAGATTATCTCTGGCTGGTAAAACTAAAAGCACCATGGCAACAATAGGGAAGCTGTATAATATACCTTTTCTCTCTTGTTTTGCTGTCATACATAGTGACTGTGTACTCTGAGGATAAGAATGAATACAGTACATTAAAACCATTGTTCCATCACCATGACATGTCATCGCTACCAGTATATATGACCATCATCACCATGGCAACCTGCATCAGCATTATCAGCATCATCGCTTATCACCACCGCAAGTACAGCAGTGGTGCAGCTCAACAAGGTCGGACTGTAAGCATGTGAGCAAATCATCTTTTATCATTATGCATGCTATCTGATCATCATTGGAGTCGTCCTTCATGAATTTGCAAGATGTGATCCTATTGGAGGATGCACGTGTAGAACAATAGAAAACAATGACCTTTCCCCAACCCCGCCCCTAAACCTAACCAATCACAGGGGACATTGCAAATTCGTGAAGCCTAACCCCATCATTGTTCAACCACCTCCCGTTGCACATTACCTGTTCTTCCAAAAAATATTGGTGCTGCTTTGTTTGGCATTATAGGACAAACTGTCTCTGTGCCATCTAGTCTCAGTGTTTGTTGCTTAATCCCAGTATCGGGATCAATGGCATACCACACATCAATCTTGCGACCTTTACAATAAACAAACATACAGCTGTAAATACTTGGTATATTCATAATCATAATATAAACTAAGGCAGCTAGTGTCAGGAAACTCACTCACCTGTGTAAAGTAAGCCATCTGTACTGCGGCAAGGAGAAGCACGCACAAGATCTGGTATTGTAAATGGAAGTTTCTAAAAAAAACGTAAAGTCAAATAAAGGGCTGATTAATAACATATTTCCTATACATTATGGATATTATATATATTTTTGCATTACCTTCAGACCATCCAGTGCACTACCAAACGCATACAAACTCCCATCTTTGGGGTCTGGAATAAATATTGCCCTGAAGTAAAAATCATTTGCAAATTAAATTAATACATGTACATTACTAAGTCTTAATAAATAATAAAATAGATTAAATAAGATTTCTATAAAAATCATCAATGTATGGGACTTTGTCAAGTGAAAGTCTGGACAAACAGTATTTGATTGAAGTATCATTATGGCATTGTCATGGAAACCTAATTTAGTAAAAGTAGAATTGAAGAAACCCTTACCCAGGTCTCAAAAACATTGGTGTCTTCAATACAGGATCTAAAAGTAAATGTAGAATGATGAAATTCATTTAAATATACCATTAGGGAAGGTATGATTTGATCTGGGGGAAGACGGGTTTTTGAGATGAGGGTCATTATATATGAATAAAATAGATTTTTTGCTAAAAATAGAATTGATTTCACATTTCGATGAGGAACTACTGGGAATTCCCCTTGATAGATAAATGAATTTACCTCACAGCACACACACAAATATAGCCATAAGAGCTAGTTTCTTTAATATAAATAAATATCATGTGAAATTACATTGCAGAAATGAAAAATTCAAGCTTCATGGAATACCAAAATAATAAAGGAAATAGATTGTACAATATACCCTTGTGTTTATCACAGCTGGATCATTTTTTAATAAGAATTAAATATTACTCTCACTTAAACTTGTGACTATTCTATTAAAAAATTGATTTTTTGTGTGTCCTTCTTTCTCTTTTTCAATTAAAAAATGATAGCACACTAAAATCTTTCATAATTTAACAACAAAAAGCAGCTTTGCAGTAAAAGAGCAGCAATTTATTGAATGATTTTAAAACAAAATTATTAATGACCATATATAATGATATTCTTCGTTTGCACATTACGTCATCACAGCCATGTTGGTACCATTTAACAAAAGATTTCTCATTAGCATCCATTGTTAACGGTACCACGATGGCCGCCATGTTTTTGTTTTTTAACTCTCTTGGGAATGCTTGCAACCCATCAATAGGAGCTCCAATCATTAAAGATCTTAATGATCATTCAATATGATAAATCTTGGGAAAATCTCCATTTTCAAAAATAGGAATACAGAAAAATCAAAGAACAATACTAATAGCAGCAGTAATTAATACTTCTATGTTTGGATAAAATCTATTTGAAAAAAAACAGGTGATTTAACACCGTCCTTTGAAGTCACAACAGCTTGGGTATTCAATCCACCAATGACGTTGGGGATTAATAATAAGTTTAGGTTACCAGGGCATTATTTACCATGAATTGAGAAATGAGTATTGCATCACTATTCTTATCATATTTATTACAACATATTAATTCAACAGGAAACAGTGGGAATTGCCTTGATCCAATAAGATCTGCCAGAGTGGTAAGGTTTCAAGACTTAATCTGTAGTACCTAGACTTTTATCGCGTAGGAGTTATCTAAAATAGATTTTAAAGTGCCAAAAATATGTATAACAAAGTCCAAAAGACAGTTTTCAGGAAATGATCAACTGAGTTAATTCGAGCATAGTAAACACAAAATGAAACTAAAAGAAAAAATATATAGCTAAGGATGCTTTGTTTCGATACAAAGTGTAAAAATTTTAAGATAAAAACAAAAACGAGAAAAAGTACAACATTATGAAATTTTAATTATATATTAAAAGTTTATTTTCGCTTTCAGGCCACACGTGGTTTGTATAATATCGATATTTTTCTGTTTACTATTTTATCTTTTAATTCTAAAGTATCAAAAATAATAGTAACAATGGGAGAGTTTCTAGTTTGTAATCACACTAGATTTAGACCGAAATTTAGGTGAATAAGGTTTGATATACCTGTTAAATCGCGTTCGTGCGAGTAAATGTCTGAAGAAAAAGCTTGTGATTGTTAGCAATAATAGGGGAATATTTTTTAGTATTTTTACCTTCTTTTATAGACCAACGAATTTCTCCAGTGGTTTTTCGAACAGCATGCATCGTCCCATCCAAGGTTGATACAAAAAGAAATGATTCAGGAACGCTCAAAGTATTAGGCTACCGAAAGAAAATACAAACATGATATGAATAACGCTTAGAAAGCAGCAAAAAGGCTTCCAGCTAGAATCAAGTCACAGATGATCGACTTTAAAATGCTTTGATTTTTTTGAACTGTAATTTACCTCTTTATCTGAATTTGAAGGCTTTGATAAATACAGAAGACCAAGGATAATGAGAAGTACGATCCTTTTTATGGATCGGCACATTGTGAGAACTTTAAAGAACGATCATAAAAAGATCGATCTCAAAAAAACCAATTTCATTCGAAAATAGTTTGTTTGGAAGAGAGAAGACTAGGTTTGAATGACGTCATGGAGCATCGATATCCGGTTGGAGAAAGAATTACTTCCGGTTTTTACGAGATTCCGCTGATTGCAGACTCACAAGCAAAACAAATCGAAGGAGAGCGCGTGTTCGCACATATTGCACATGTACGTAAATCGACAAATTATCGCAGCGATAGTTAATTCCTATTGATACATGGTTGGTTGGGGCTTGAATATTAGCAAATCATCTTTGTCGTGGATTCAGAACGAAAGATGAGTGGCAAAAAGCCACCTCCCCGTCCACCATTGCCCAAAGGATACTCTTCACTGAAGAACACTAAAGCTGTGAACACTCCTGGAAGATTAAGATCCGCGCTTGCTTCTATTTCTATTCGTTATAACCCTACGACTGCTGCTACCAAGGACTCGGACTCCGAGGAAGAGATTTATATTGTGCGTAAAGAGGAAAACGCTTTAGCCGAGCATAAAGATGATTGCTCGGACGAAATCGACCAAAATACAAGAGTGACGGAAGATCTTCGTGAGGAACCAAAACAAAGCGCTAATACTAGTATCACAAATTCGAGCTCATGTCCATTACCACTTTTTAAACTGAGTGCTGAAAGTCTTAATGGCGTTGAGAAGGGATTGGAAAACGGTGACAAAAAATCTATTGTAAAACAGAAAACTTGGCCAGGGAATTCGATTGAGTCGTCTGGAGTTAAAAGTGGATCCACGGAAATGAAATTTATACGTCGTGACCAAGGGGCCAAGAATGATCCGATCAAAACAAACGAGAACAAAGACGAGGCAGACTCGGGCTCTCAGCCATCAAAAACTCATTTAAGTTTGAGCAGTATGGAAATTGGAAACAGCGATCAAAAGGAGGGAAATCCTCCTCGATCGCCCTCGCCATTTCGTCGTCTCTACCGTCATGCAAACAATGACCATACAGTCGGAGAGAAATTAGCTGCTACATCATCTGCCATTTCGCTATCTTCACTTCTCGCTGCTGCTGCTACAGAGGATAACGACGCAGAAGGCGAAGAAGAAAACGAGGAAGTAGAAGATTTTCAAGATGCGATGCCAGAGGTGCCTGGTGACTCGTTGCCTTTGGAAGAAGCAGTAGTTAATTCAGAAGTGAAAAATTCTGTGAATTTGTCTAGCCTCGCAAGACCTATGCATGAACCATCTTGTTCTTTCCTTTTGTTTTGCGTCCTCTTGTCCTATATTTATTTGATTTCTAACCCTCCAGTCTTTGTAAATGGAATGATAGCTGGATCAGTTATTTGTTACTTAGTTGGATGTCTGATCCTCTTGGTAGTGTGCCCTGAGGACTCTTTTGATGAACGATTTCAACGCGAACTTGCCGAATACAACATGCATCTTGCTCATGATCCAAAGCCCTCATACASGTCTGTAGATCCAGGATTACTTCTGCGTCCACGAGGAATGAAGGTAAGACCTAAACTTGGGGTTTATTAATGGTATATAGTTTATAAGTAAAGAAACAAACACCTCGGTTTTACTCTCCAAAACACTAGCGTCTAGTACTCTTGACAGCATCAAAATCAAAATAAACACGTGAATAAAATAACCAAGATCATGACGATTTTTTTCGTTCAAGTAAGCCATATTTATATTGCTTTTCCAAAATATTAGCTGAAATAATAGCATTTAATATTTTTTCGAAATGGGAAGGTGCTTTAACTTTTCGCGCAAATTTTAGCGCTACCGGTTGTCGACCGGGAGAAAGTTACGATTAAAAAATGTTTGAAATGAAAATGAAGGCGTGAGTATGCGCCACTTAAATGGCTTACTTCTTAAAGGTCCTAGTCACTGAACGCTTGGCCTAGCGTATGAATTTGGTGGTCCATCTGTTTTGCCATCTGTCAATCATTGATAAATCGAACAGACGGTCAAAGATTGTAAGATTGGTACCTCATTTTACCCAGATGTATTTAAAGTCATTGGTCAAACGTTTCCTTACAACACAATTAGTACCAGTGATTTCAATAAGACTGCCAAACGTAAACTTTGATAAAGAATGCAAACGATCTTTTGGTATAAATATTTCAACACACACCCACCAGTTTTCCTAACACCAATTTCATGACTTTGACCCAATAATACATCAGTGGTAAAATACCTATGATCTTATGAATATTGAAAGATCTTATGATCCAGAAAAAAATTAAGATTTATATACCTCTTGCATTATATTCCCAGCAGCATGCAGGACAAAATAATATAAAATTACTCTCACTTGAATTGAAATTTATTATTTTGTCCTCCAAATTTAGCTTATTTGATAATAATTGCTGCAAGGGGTATATAAAATATATTTTCAGGATTTTGTATTTATAGATTTTTTTTACTAGTCTTGAGGAACAGATATGGTTATATTGAGTTAGGAGTTGAAGTATTATAAATTGTTTTTATTTAAGTTGACAGGAAAATATTGCAAGTTTTTTCACGAATGATTGATTAGTGTGCCCTTAGGGGTGGAATAGAATAGTCCAATATTATAGTGTAACCATTTTATAAGAGCAGGCAGGTGGTATATAATATGCACATAATTTACCCATTAGGTTAAAACAAAAACATTTTAATGTTAAAAGTAGGCTTTGCTCTTTCAAGAACTTCAGATGGCACATTAAAATTTGGCTTTTCACAATAACAGAGCAATTTATTCTCACAATTTGATTAGCTGACAGCTATGATCAATAAGAGGACAGACACATAGAATGATGAATAGCGCAGCACACTGATTCTAAAAATAGCTTAAAGATTYGGACAAACATTGCATTCTGTTTAACCGCTACGAGGATTATACGAACCGATTTTATTATTTTTACTTAAAGTTACAATAATAACCCATGTAAACTAAGATCAACTGCGATCGGCTGTGAAAATTATCTGCTGAAAGTAAACTTGTAAGTTTATTTGTCTGAATTTTGCCTTTGTCTTCATTTTTATGACGTCACAACTGCACTGTGCTATTGCTTGCGCACAGAACTAGCATGGACTTCAAACCGTTTTTCTTTTGAACTCTTTCCTTGTTTACATGTGTTTTCATTCTTATTTTATTGAAATAACAAATCGCTTATAGATTTCATTGATTGTCCTCTTATTGATCATAGATAACATCTTAAAATGTTCAAAACTTTACATTTTAAGATGTCATCTATAATCAATAAGAGGACAGTCAATGGAAATCTATGAGCAATTTGTTAATTTTGTAGCCAACCAGTCGAAAATAGACAGTCATGTTACAAGCTGCATAAGAACAATGGAATACTACATTTTGCTGTGATAAAATTCCACTTTAGTTTTCTTGCATTTTTTAAATTGTTTAACAAAGTTTTTTCACAACACGATCCCTATTTTTAAGGCAGACAAGTTATTAGCCTAAAATGAAATCACTTAACCAAGTAACATTGAAGTAGCATAATATTAGCTTAGTGATATGGTGGTATGGAATGTCAAGGTTGATTGTTTCCAAGGAAATATCATGGAAATAAGTAGTATGTGCAATCTACATTGTATATAGTCTGTTGTCAGATATGGCTTGCGTTTTTACTGTTGTTGTACTCTAATCGTGAACACTCAAGTTTTTCAACCAATCAGATTATGTATCTAAAACAACAGAATTTGAGTTACATGTTTGATAGTCTATAATAGATATTCAAGAAGATAAAATGGTAAAAGAGTAAAAATAAATAAAATAAAATAAACTTGAGTGTTCCCAGTTACAGTAGAATGACAGTAAACCTGATTATGCACTCCTGCATGTTATTAAATAGTGCTTGAATAATTTGCCTTCTGATCAAGGTTTAAAATAAATAAGCATTGTGAATATCGTGGTAGGTCCCTTTTGCCTTTTGTCTTTCTCTTTTTAGAGTGGTCTGTAGTCCTTGTCATTTCAATTTACTAGCTTTTTGTGTGTTGTTCTTGATTGTTTTGCGTACTATATTTTAATTTGTGTCTTTTTTCATTTTTTTCAAGGGATGGATGTTAAAAGCATATGATTACGATCCCAACAGTGTCAGTGAAACGATGTTAGTTTATGCACAACTGAGAGACAACAACCTCACCTTGTCGCTACCAAAACTAGATAGCAGCTCAAGAAAGATTGACATCAAGACAGTTGATGAGAACACTAAGCTGCCATTTGCTCGTACATATCACTTTGACCTCACAGGAAGTAATATTTTTTTAACTCCACCAACTCTTTCACCAAAACGAATATGGAGCAAGAAGTATCCTTTGTGTATAGCCTTAGGAAAACCTGGAAAAGTGCAAGAGGAAGTGAAAGAACTTTCTGAAGAAAACTCAAGCAAACAAAAGTTGAAAGCTCAAAGTTCTTTAGATGATGTACATGTGTTGTACCTGTTTGCCAAGACTGGACGACAGAAAGAGGAATGGCACCAACATTTTGATAGGATTTTAAACCCTAAAAAGAACATTTCAGTTTCAGACATTGATAACTTACTGCGCCCAACGTCATGCAGCTACCCACACTACATGGCCAAATTGCTACCCAATCCTGACGTGGGCTTGCAGGATTCACCAGAAGTTCAACTTTCCTGGGTCAATATGCTGTTTGGTAGGGTCTTCTGGGATGTCTGGCAGGACCGATACTGGGCAGATAAAATCAAACAGCGATTTCAAAATAAACTTAGTAAGCTACATAAGCCACAGTTTATCCGCGACATTCACATAACAGATCTAACTCTTGGGCACACTTTTCCACTTATCAACAAAGTGTCACTTCCAGTTTTAGATGAGCAGGGCGTATGGGTTGATTTTGATGTGACTTACAGCGGAGGAGTCGTTTTCACAGTCGAGACACACCTCAACATTGATGGCTACTTGAAACATTTCCTGAACCTCGGGAAAGAAAACAGGGATTCCACAGGAGATTTAGACATGGCAGGGCTTACACTGAAGTATGAAATGCTGGACAAGGAAGAAATTCTTAAAGATATGAATGAGCCCAGGAGAGATATTGGCAGTTGCACTAATAATGATGATGATGATGATGAATCTCTCACATCAGAGAGCCCACCAGAGAGTGATTCTGATTTTGAGTCTCCAGAGTCTGACTTTGAGGATTTACTAAGTAAGCCAAATGTCAGTGGGTCAACAGAAACAGTATTAGAGTCGAGCTCATATGCCAAAGAAGCGCTCTTGCAGTTAAAGTCCCTAGAAGGATTCCTGGAGAATCAAATAGCAGAAGAAGAAATGCAATTTTTAGATGTGGACGATATTCCACCACAACTCCGACTGTCACAGGAATCATTGTCAAATGTGGAAAGTATTTCAAACTCTGAGAGAAATAGCCCAGTGCAGAAGCAAAGTTCAGGTGAAGATTCAGAAAAATCGTTGCATCTTTCCCCTCCATCAACTCCAAAAATGAACAAGGCACGTGACACCTCTCATGCAAGTAGCTTTGTCTCAAACTCTGAGAGAAACAGCCCGGTGCAGAAGCAAAGTTCAGGTGAAGATTCAGAAAAATTGTCCAGTGCTTCTGCTCCATCAACCCCAAAGACAAACAAGGCAGCTGTCACTCACCATGCAAGTAGCCCAGTAAGACAAGGATCAAGCAAACCAACCGGAACAAGAAAAAAGTTGATTGGAGTATTAGAGAGACTTGCCAAATCCAAATGGGTCAAAAAGGCTGCTGAAACCAAGATTGTTAAGACAGCAGCAGAAAAGTTCTCAAACTTGCCTATTATTCTATCAGTGGAAGTGCAGTCTGTCAAAGGGACTTTGACACTGAATATCCCACCACCACCAACAAACAGACTTTGGTAAGTAAGAGAAATGTAATTAATTTAGTACCTTGAAATTGGGGATGTACCAAAAAATGTAAGGCATATCATCTTCAAGTAAATATGAAAGACAAACTCTCATTTTAGGTCCATTTGCATGGCAGTCAAATTAACAGATATCACACTTTATTGCTTTCAAACATATTGTTTCACAATACTCCCCTTCACAGTTCCCTGCACCATCTTGAAAGATAGCCGTGCCTTTGCATTGAAGTGAAATAAATGGTGATCTTGCAGTGATAGAGATATTGTAAATAATTGTCCAAGGTGTTAAAAAAGGTCTTTATCATTGCAAGCTCACCGTTCATCTCACCTCAATGTAATGGCAACTCTACCTTCAAAGATCACGCTGGGAACTGTGAAAGGGACTATTGTTTGAAGGCAATAAAGTGTAACTCTAATATCTACTGATCATTAGCTATAGTCCACTTGGTTTTCTTTGTGTTTCCTGTGTGCACACTGTTAATTTGGCTGCTGAGAAGTATATTGGTCTGGTTCTGAGCTGGATTGGCTATTTTTTTTACATAGGATTTTTAATACTTAGTACATGATTGGCTAAATGCATCCATGGCTCCGATTGAAGTTGTTTTCCTTACTTCCTTTAAAGACAAAGATGTCCTTGTCTTGCCATCAATCATTAAGACATTGTCTTGGTCATACAACTGTTGAAACTGCTTGCATGCAATACTGTTTATTTCTGTTTGATCTAGGTATGGCTTTCGTGGTAACCCTATGCTATTTGTTACTGCACGACCAAAACTTGGTGCTCGACAAGTGAAACTTACTCATGTTACTGATTGGATAGAGAGAAAGCTGAAGCAGGAATTTAAGGTAGTGTTACAACTCAGGGCCCTGTTCGCTCAGTCTAACAATCATCCCTACCACAACTCCATGTCCTCCCTATGAAATAACAACTGTGATAAGAAGAGATAACTAGCTCAAATCTAGTGTGAGCTGAGTTGTTGTTTCTAATGAAACAGTAATGATAAAAGGGCAAATTTTACACCGTAAAAACTAAGATGAAAAAACTGACGTTTTGGATGCTGGCTTTTGTTGGAGTAAAAGAGATAACTGTGAGAGTAGTTGTGGCAGTAATGAATGTTGTTTTTTTCCTTACTTTTTTATTGGACAGCGGTAAGGGGGACAAACTAGCACCCACTAGTATTTAATCTCTTACAAATCTGAAGTTTGGGAGGTTGTAACATGTTTAAAGTTGTTGAAATTGTTCAGGGCGTATGATAATGGCTGGTAAATAAACAATGTCCAGTCAAACACATAACATAACATGTTTTACAACCACCATACGGGGCTCTTCTGTGAGGTTCCCTCAACATGCACAACCACTACATTATATATTTACAACATACGACACTCAACTCACATGTTGCTTTTTATGGAGGGAGGAAACCGGAGATCCCAGAGAAAACCCTCATGGTAAGGGAGAGAACAATGCATCAAACAAACACAACTAACGTATGATCCAGAGTCTGAGCTGGGGCTCGAACCTGGACCACAGTAGTGATAAGCGAGCGGTAAACCATTACACCACCTATGCCACCCACCTCTTGTTCTATTAACTGGTCACATTGACTGGTCCCATGTTGATCAGTCAAATATGGCTGCATAGTTATCTTGCCATTTTTTTTTTATCCCAGGGCGGTAGGTTTATCAATAGTTTAATGGTTTTTTATTTTTTCTCTAGAACATGTTTGTCCTTCCCAACATGGAAGACATACCAATCAAGATCATGAACAGTGATGTAGAGAAGCAGTTTTCAGACAATTAATTAAAGTACAAGTAAATGTACAGTTTTAGTTCAATCGGAATACTTAAGATACTAAATTATGATATTATTAAGACACACCTAGAGCAAATTTATTATGAGTGGTAAATAGCCCAGTTTTGAAAATGAACAATTAAGATTATGATTGGCCTTCTGAACTACAAAAAAAAAAAAAAAAATTTCAAATTTTATCTGATTTATTGATGAGTTATAATTATTATTATAATTATTATTATTACTATCAGCATGAATAAGGTTGTTTTTCAATTAGAGCAAAACTTGAAGCCTTGAATCAAAAAGGCATTGTATTTTGTGTTAAATTAATGTCTTTATAAAATTGTATTTATGTCAAATATTATACACTGGATCTGGGATCCATTTGAACAGTCTCCTGGTCTACCTTTTTCAAAGCCATATTGGTGCTAGTCCCAAAATTAAATCTTTTTGGTTGCCTTAGACTAATCGGCTAACGTGTTGCTATAAACGTTTCCACCCAATTCAAACCACATGGTAGTAAGTTTCATTGTGTCGTTATATTTTGGTTTCACAGTTGAATTCGTAAAGACAAACGCTTCTATTCCCAGGTTTGAATAGCGCAGAGCAGCCGTGACATCATAAAAACGAAGACAAAGGCAAAATTCAGACAAACAAACTTACAAGTTTACTTTCAGCAGATAATTTTCACAGCCGATCGCAGTTGATCTTAGTTTACATGGGTTATTATTGTAACTTTAAGTAAAAATAATAAAATCGGTTCGTATAATCCTCGTAGTGGTTAAACAGAATGCAATGTTTGTCCGAATCTTTAAGCTATTTTTAGAATCAGCGCGCTGCGCTATTGGGTCATAACATACATAGCAACACGTTAGCTGATTAGGTGTATTGTCGTAAACAGGCTCACACTAATCAGGCTTTGAATAAAATAGCCCTCAACCCGGTCTTTTCTTTCCAGTCTCACCACAGGTATCCCACCAATTTTTAATTAATGAATATTGTTTATATGCAACTAAGTAAATGTTAAAAAAAAACTCACAAATCTGCCTGGGAGATCTTGCACATGCACATTTCAGAAATTAATAATCTTATGTTAATTGTTATAAGATAACTGTTATTAATGTCCTGTCCTGATTGGTTGGGAGTGTGTGCTTTATGAGAGTACATGTGCATTCTTTATATTCATGTGTGCAGCAATCATTCCTATCCAAAATAACTGTTATTTTATTTTGTATTTCATAAAAGAAATAAAAAATTGCTTACTGTAATGCATGCTGTCATAAATCACATGGGAGTAGCAAGAACACAAAGTTCACTATAGATCACATTGCTTTCCCTAACAGTTCTCTCTTGTTCTGCCAACTCTAGGCCTGGCAGGACTGCCTAGCATGCTTTATAACTGCCTATAGCAGCATGCACATCTTTCATTTCTTTATTGAAAATTTGGAACTTTTCTTTAACCTTTAAAGTGCTACTACGACGAAAATCGCTCAAACTTGGATTCAGCTGAAACTTCCTAAGAATACTCTTTAAAGGTCCAATAATCACTGTATGAAGTGTTTTCTCGACATTCAGGACGAAAGTATGATATTTTTACGATTATTTTTTGGAGTCTGTGACGTCATACACTCAACATCGAACATCGCTCCATACATTTCTTTGTAGTTTATGATCAAAATATCAGTAGTAAAGGGAGAAAGAAATACCCAAACACCCCAAAATATAAATTATAGTCACAAGTAATGTGAAATAAGCACATTAGCCACCCTTTGGGTTTCATAGGAATAAAATAAATTAAGGATTCATATACAAAGAAATATATGTAGCAATGTTTGATGTTGAGTGTATGACGTCATAGACTCCAAAAAATAATCGTAAAAATATCATACTTTTGTACTGAATATCGAGAAAACACTTTATGCAGTGATTATTGGACCTTTAAAGAGTATTTTTAGGAAGTTTCAGCTGAATCCAAGTTTGAGCGATTTTCGTCRTAGTAGCACTTTAAATAACAGGCAATGTTTACATACTACAAAAGATTACAGATAAAATTTAATTATTATTTTTTTAAAGAGAGACATAACATAAGTTATTACATGTATTTAACTGTACTTTACTGTATTTAGAGTATCATTAGTTCAATAAATTAAAGTAGCTCTTTAAACAAATTTTATTAAAATAAACTTAAGATACTGACATATTGTCTGATTTTCATTGAAGTAATTTTAAAAAGAGAGAGAGAGAGATTGGGGTTTTGGGGTTTCTATGGCAACAGGCCTGCATTAATCTTCCTATCTCCACTCTAGTTGTAAGGATTTTTGACAACTTCATTGAGCCTAAAATGTGCATCTCTTTAAAAAGATTGTATAAAATTTTGATACCTCAAAGCTCACCTKAATTCTATTCTTTGTAGTTTGAGTAAAACTTTCTTGAAGCTGAATTTTCATCAAATTTCTAACTTCAGCAGTCTAATATCACTATCGGCATCATAAAAGAACAACTTCCTAGATGGCTTGTTGAGCACTTTCCACTTGATATTATAACCAACTGAGTAAAAATAGATATCATTAATAATAAATATTATTAGTCATAAATATCATTAATCATAAATATCATTAGTCATAAATATCATTAGTCATAAATATCATTAGTCATAAATATCATTAATCATAAATATCATTAATCATAACTACATTAATCATAAATATCATTAATCATAAATATCTGATAATAACTATCATTAATCATAAATATCATCAATAATAACTATCATTAATCATAAATATCATTAATCATAAATATCTAATAATAGCTATCATTAATCATAAATATCATTAATCATAAATATCATTAATCATAAATATCATTAATCATAAATATCAATAATAACTATCATTAATCATAAATATCATTAATCATAAATATCATTAATCATAAATATCTAATAATGACTATCATTAATCATAAATATCATTAATAATAACTATCATTAATCATAAATATCATTAATCATAAATATCTAATAATAACTATCATTAATCATAAATATCATTAATCATAAATATCATTAATCATAAATATCTAATAATAACTATCATTAATCATAAATATCATTAATCATAAATATCTAATAATAGCTATCATTAACAATAAATATCATTAATAATAAATATCCTTATACTAAAGTGGGATCCTTTGTTGGACTTGATCAAATCTGTGTTACTATGTTGTTGAAACTGGAAAAAAATTAAGCTCTAATGAACCTTACTCAATTTCACTTGATTGGTCAAGAAACAATATTATTCATTATGGTTCAATTTGAGTTTGGACTTGATGAATAAAAGTATCAAGTTCAGTCTCCACTTCAAACCATTGTTCAGTGTCATCCAAGGAAATTCAGGAAAGGTCTATTACAGCGCAACTACTGTAACCAGGGCCACTTAGACCAGTTTGACAAGAGAACCAATTAAAATGTAGAATGAAAACAATGCACTCCAACTTTGGGTAGTGGAGCCAATCAGAAAACTAGACTGCATGAGAATTGTAATTTGACCCTGATGTTATGTGTAAACAAATATACAGCCATCGTTATTTTCTCATGGGAATAAAAAGATGTTTAAAGGCTTTTGTTTTCTACTGCTTTCTGATTGGCTTGGCACATCATACAGTCAAATAAGATACTAACCAAGTTCTTGAAGAAAGTACTCAAATGTTTCTGGATTACGGACAGTTGATGTTACAAAGGCTACGGGTTTAATGACACCATCACCATGACAACTAAAAAAAACACAGGAGTTTTATTGATCACTTCCAGTAGGAACACATGAGATCCTACGGCACAATACAACACTGACAATAAATCAGGGCTCAAAATAATGGCCAGTCAACAGACACTGTGTCCAGTCAAAACTGGTACTTGTCCAGTCAAACACCCCTTAGGTAAGCCCTCTTGACTGGCCACATTGACTAGTCATTTGTTGATAAGTCCGATGTGCCGGTTTCGATGTGCCCAGTCATCATGTCCACTCATTGAGCAGCCATTATTTCTAGTCCTGTGAATACATAGCTCCATAGTAACAGAAAAAGTTAGAATAATAAGGGTGATCATCGGCACACAAATTTTGCACAGCCAGTAAAAAAATAGGTTTTTAAATTTTCAGTGGTGTGGTCCACTTTTCACCAATGTTGAAGCAGAGGGTACAGAGCACGGATGAGGAATAATTATCATAAAATATCAATTTGAAGATATTTAACTACTGGCACATATTATTTCTTACCTTAAAAGTTTAAATAGAACTGGAACAAAGAATTTGATCAACTCTACATCATATATCACATCTGAGTAAAAGAAAAACTAAGTTAGTTACACTTTGAAATTAAATAGACCTCTTTAGCTTGGGAGTAATGTTTTCTCATTTCAGACCATGTATCATTCCCTTGGGAATAAAATTCTTTGTTTGAGTTGTATCCATATTCTATGCCTTCTCATGTGCAACCTTTAAACAAAGAAACGATACTCTGACTTGGGAAAGGCATTTGGTCTTAAATGGGAAAACCTTACCCCCAAGCTATAGAGGCCTATTGTCAGTGTCCTTGAACCTGCAATCAAAGGAATAAGCAGTCGGCAAACAAAAGGCTATGTACCTGCCATCTGTCACATACTGAGGTGACAAATCCTGACAAAAAATATTCATTTCTTAATAATGGTCCAACGACAATGAGCTTAATGTGCAACATTTGCGTAGTTGTAAGTCACAGAATGATATTAATCATAGTATGAACCACTCATCTGGCTTAAAATAACAACCAGTAATTGGACAATATATGGCCAGAATTGGAACTTGTCTGGTCAAATCTTTGTCTTGCTAGTCATTTTGACCAGACTGGTTTTGGATTTGGTAGTGTTGAGCCAGAAACAAGGTATGACTGAGTTAAAATTAATTTGGTTGGTCATCATGACCAGTGACCGACATACCATTATTTCAAGCCCTACACATCAAGATCACTGTGTACACAACAAGATATATTAATAAATATTGTCAAAGTGGTTTTGGTATCAGTGGGAAATGATATTGCAAATGCATAGCTGTACTGCATGCACAACATGCCATAATTGACAGTAACTGTGACAAAGCACCATGATTGGATGATTTACACATTAAACACAATGGACACCAATTTAAGTGTTACTGTAAACAGTACTCAGAGCCGGGTTGTTCAAAGCTGGATTAGCGCTAATCCAGGATTAACTCTATAGGTCTTATTAAGAGTTAACCCAGGATTAGCACTAATCAGGCTTTGAACAACTGGGCCCAGAGCATGTGTACATTGTGTAATTGAGTACTATACATTCCCCATTTATAATGCTTTAGAGCTTATGATGCAACAATGTTACACCATTTTATTGCTATATTTTGTACCAATTTATTATTAATCATAGCTTAATATTTACCAGTAGCCACGATAACTCCACAGGACAATCCTTCTAAATCATCCATACTGACGTCTTCCCAGTCCAACCTTATAGATGCCACATTAACCTTATCTCTGTCTCTACTTTCTTTCCTATAAAGATCCTTTTTTTCAAGCTGTACTCTTTTCGTACAATTCGTTTTAACATTGTCATGAGATTCACAATCTTTGCCTAATGCTTGAAGAGTGCTCAGTGGTCTGTAACATTTGCTGCATTTTTGACAAGTATAACAAACTGTTTCTTGTTCCCTACTATCAGAATATTGCAACTCTTCTCTAAAATATTCTGGTACACACCTGTCATTACAACCATTGTTCATGGCAAGGTCAAAAGTCCAGTTACTCCCAATCAATTTATTACGTTTATTAATACGAGGGCACTTTGGCAACACAGTCTCATCCTCTGTTCCACAATAACAATTTGAATCTGCATTCCTTTGAAAGCCATTTATGGACAGGTTTTTATTCAGTTTTCCAAGCACTGCTTCATGACAGTCAGTAAAGACATAATGCTGAGGGCTATAGCTCATGCAGATGGACAGTCCTAATAGACCAAGACCACAGCCCAGCTCAACCACATTTCTGATAATATTCAAAAGAGTAAAAGATCACTTGAATAATATCTAAAGTATATGATGTGTGTGTGTGTATAAGTGGTAATAATGTTCTAGCCTGCAAAGCAGGCATTCTTGTGGGTTTGGGGAAAAACCGGGGTTTTTGGGGAACTTTGGAACTAGCAAGAATTTTTTTTTGCTAGGTCCCATTTTTCTCGCAGGCCCTTGGTTGAAACAGGAACCCCAAAACCCCGATTCTTCCTCAAACCCATCAAAAGAACGCCTGCTCTGCAGGCTAATAATGTTCACTGAATATTTATATGAAATTCTGGTAGCTAATTATCATAGTTGGAGTGCTTTTAGAGGAACCGTGTCCATACAGTAATTGCTACTCCATTATCATGTACTTTCTGACAAGCCAACTTGTGTCAGTTGACAGTCGGCTGACCAGGGACGAATCCAGGGGGGTCAAAGTTTGCCCATAACCCCCCTTTTAAAGCCAAAAAAAATCTAACCAGCCTTTGATGCAGTGTGTGAAGATTTGTTTAGACTTAACTTAAGCAGTTAAGAAAATCAGTTTTCTTGCTTCTCGGAGCCGTCTTTTCGTTTCGTTTCTCCTCTATCGACTATGATTCTTTTTCATCAAAACAACAGGTTGCTATGTCATATTGACGTCATATGATGTCATAGTGACAACTTGGTATGTAAGGACCCCCCCCCCCCATTACAAATCCTGGATACGCCCCTGCTGACTTTGGCCAACCAGCTTTCAAATGACTTGTCAGCTGTTAATAAAGTACATGATTACCTTGCCAATCACATAATGAAACCAGTTCTCAATTTCTCAACAATGTTTCTCACCAACCTGTTTTCAAACTCTTTGCTATTTTCCAAAACCCACTCCAGCATGTAAAGAGCTGCCTGTAGAAAGGATAATTATGAATTTATAGGCCCCTTGCAGCACATTGGAATGCAGTTCAATCTGGGGGACAAAACAATAGGTTCCAATTCTCAGGAGATTGGAATTCTTTCGTTTTGTCCCCCAGATCAAGCTGCTTTGACGTCACATGCAAGGGGTCTATGTATTACAGCTGTCTGGTATGAAATATAACAGACAGTCATTGTTTCAGAGTAGCCAATTCTAGCACATGATTATTGACCAACCATGGCTGATCAGCATTGACATTAGTTGAGTAAGCTTTTTTAAAGGAATAAAGTAACACATTATTAGTACTAGTTAAATACCTGCCAAGTGCTAAGGCCAGTCGTTCCCTGAGAAATTATGTTTTGTGATTCTTCCACAATAATACCAGAACCAGATGGCTAGGACATTTAAATCAAATCACTGCTGGTTAAATATCAATTAAAACCTGCATCTTTGAAGTTTTGTCCCTCCCCTCCACTCCACTCCCCTTTCATCCCTAACCCTTGTCTAATATAGTTAGCCAGGCACATGCATTCCAAGTTAATTAAGACCAAATACAAATTGTGGGGCTTAAGAAATTTCACTTAAAGCCTGTCAAACACTGCAATTTGTCGGCTCGATTCTATGCCAGAATGTATGAGGAAGCAAATTGTACTACACATACATGTACAATTAGAAATAAATAATTGTGATCGGCCCATGAATTAGGCTGACAAAAAGCAGGACGTACATGTACTTCCTGCTTAAACCACATTCATTTTTGCAAAGCAACGAATTGAGCCATTTTAGCACTCATTATAATTGTTGCTGACAGTGTTTGTCTTTAAGATGCTTAAATCCATTTAATTCCTTTTCATCCTGGAATGACGTATGTTCTATGCGTTTTGGTTCTTATTGCCATCTTTTTTCAATGGCTGCTACTTACAAGAATATAAGTCTTGTAGCAAGGGCTCTGATCATCATCCACTTCGCTAATAACTTCTGCATAACATTCATAAAGCTCATCTACAAGTTCATGGTTTGCTTCCTCACTGATCTTCATCAGCTGTTTTAGGAACATCCTCTTGTACCTAATTGAAGGAGTGTACTTGACAAACTCATTGCTCATGTAAGTCTGTAAAGCAATAGAATCAACAGAATTGGTTTTACAAAATACTCACACTTTGCCAATTAAGAAATTTACAGTCAAATTTTCCAAAAAATATGTCTGGGCTAAAAGCAACAAGCATTGTAGAAGCTGATGAYCGAAAAAAATACTCAATTTTCTCGTAATAGACCATTTTCAAGTTCCAAATTACTGCTGTGTTTCTAGATTACAGTCTCATTTACTCAGGGTTAACCTTGAATCAGTGTATAAATATTCACAAATACCAACAGTAAGGTAAAGGATGTACAACTTCAACAATACAAACACTTTGAAATTTCACCGACCTTCACTGAAACACATGAATATTCTGCACAAATTGAGGTTATGCCTGAGCAACAGAGAACTTGAAACTGAAGTATTTATCTTGGGGGAGGGGGGATAGGGGTAAGTGCTATAGGGGGAGGGGGGATAGGGGTGGGTGCTATAGGGGGAGAGGAGATAGAGGCAAGTGGGTCTATCCATTATCAGGGCTAAAAAAAACAACTGCTCAGACTAATCAACATTTGCTCAGTCAATGTGACTGCAATCAAGAAGACCAACCTATGAAGAAGAATTTGCCTGAATAAAAATTTTGGCTAGACATTTCCAGATAAATTGGCCACTTTTTTGAGTCCTGAGGTTTGGGCATTTCAGGGTATGGGGTATCATCATCATCAATCTTGTCATTACTATTATCATTATTATTATTTATAAATCATGAATATTCATAATGCATTAGTGCACTAAAATAATGTTAAATAACTAACCTTTCGTAATATGACTTTCTGTAAAGTACTGTCTAAATATTGTGCGATATTCTGGTACGAATTAAGTAAGAGTTAGAAAAAAATTTAGTAGGACGAAAAGTAGAGGTCTTGTAGTTCAAGTAAAAGATAATGCTCCATCTTTTTCTTAGCTATTGTCGTGTTCAAGCCATATGAGAAATTTGCATTACCTTCCAGTCAAAAAATTTGATTGGTACCATTTGAAAATACTGTTTTTGTATAGAGAACAAGATCTCTTGTTGTTCTTGTTCTTCAGTCTTCATGTTTGCCGCCATTTTGATGACCGCGCGAAAAAATAGCACTGGGATCTAGAATCTTCAAGCTAGTACTCAGGCTCTTTCGTTTGGTTTTCTCTGTGCGTCGCCATTTTGTTTTGGATTTGTAAAGAAATGTAAGTATTTATCCAATCCATCTTGCTCAATCCTTTGCTTGTTTGGAAAGAAAATTCGTGTAATTTGTTTATCATTGACTTGTCCTTAAATGTAAGGTTGTATTTAAGGGTTTTTCTTGCTAAATTTCACTGAATTTGTATTTTTAAGGGGTCGTCGCAGCCGCTCTCGCTCCCGCTCTCCAGCTCGTCGCGACGCAAAGGACAAAGCTAAAGACAAAGCCAAATCATCTACAAGAGGCCGTAGTCCAGTACGGAAAAATAAAGCAAAGGAGAAGCCAGCTAGACGTCCAAGTTCTTCATCAAGCAGGTCTGCGTCTTGTTCAATCGCGTCGTATAGTGTTTACATTTGTTTGTTTGTTCTCATGCGTCTTTGACAGTTGTGTATATATTCATAAATTGGTTTATATTTTTCGCAGCGACAGCTATTCTTCAAGTAGTGGCAGTTCAGGTAGCTCCAGCCGCAGCTCCAGTTCAGGATCAAGCAGCAGTGGTAGCCGCAGTTCTAGTTCCAGCAGTTCCGGGTCCAGCAGCTCGAGCTCACCATCTCCTATTCGTAAAGGTGAGGCTTTGATACTTAAAGCAAAATGTTAACGACAAAATAGATATATAGACACCATTTGTAGCAAACAAGGTGAATTCTCTGTTGGCTTTGGTATAAGCATATCATGTACAGTATGTATTGATATAAAATACCTAAGCTTGGCTAGTAAAGAGGAAAATTCCTTATAATTGGGGGTAGGGGGAGAGCTAGGGTGGAAGTATATGGTATGCATCCTCGGGATCATAACATTAAGCTTGACAGATTGATTATAGCATATTTTCTTGATTGTAGCATATTTTCTTGATATCCATTCCACTTGTAGTATTTTTTACCACAAATGTAAATTTTCTGGCTTTCTGATTGGTCTAGAGCTGTGGTAAATAAGACAACATACCAACAAATTATAACAAGAAATTATGAATCCCTCAAATATTCAAATGTTTTGCATGTTTTCAGGCAAATATTAAGTTATATTGTGGAAAATAAGAGGACATACCATGCTAAACCATTTGAAATTTATTGAATTTCTTTTTTTGCTTTAGGAATGAAAATGAGGACGCGGCAGAATACAATTGGTCTTATTTATAAATCAACTTTATATTATTTTTTATTAGGAAGTGCCAAAGTAAAGAAAGAAACAAAGAAGGAAATCAAGGTAGAAGGAAAAGAGGTTACAAAAGAGCCAAAGGAGACTAAAACCAAAGCTATACCTCCACCAGAACAACCCAAGGTAAAATCAAAATCCCCACCTCCAAAACCACCAATAAAAGCACCCAAGAGATCTACCTCTAGATCAGTGTCCAAGTCTCCTAGTCCTGTGCGACGTATAAGGCCAAGATCAAACTCAAGTTCATCTTCAGGATCAAGGTATCGCTCAAAGTCTAAGTCAAAGTCACGATCACCAAGGCGACGGAGGAGAAGTCCAACTCCAAAACCAACAAAGTTGCATGTTACTCCCCTTTCTCGTAACATTAACAAAGATCATGTGTTTGAGATATTTGGTATTTATGGACATGTAAAAACAGTGGACTTGCCACTGGATAGGTTTAACTCTCTGCCAAGAGGATTTTGTTATGTTGAATATGATGATCCRGAAGAATGTGAAAAAGCATTGAAACACATGGATGGCGGGCAAATTGATGGCCAGGAAATAACAGTACAGACTGTTCTTCCCCCAAGACAAAGGGACGTTAGACCACCCTACAGACGCCCAAGTCCACCTCGAAGAAGACAGCCATGGAGAAGAAGCCCACCAAGATTCAGAGGGGGTGGCAACTACAGGTCATTTAGGCGCTCTCGTTCACCAGCTTCACCTCCACGCAGACGTAGATCACCATCTAGGTCACGATCGCCACAAAGAAGACGTAGATTTAGCAGTTCTAGCTCAGATTCTTCAAGATAGAGAACGTTTTCTAAAATGCCTAACTTTTTCTTAATCTGCTTTTCCTTCTCCGAAACTTACGTTATTAAGCCTTTTTAAGAGGCAAATCAGAATTGCTTTGTTCCCAAGGACTTTATAGGTAACAATGCTTATCAGTTTTGTCATAAACTTTAATGGGCAAAACTAGCCATGTTAGACATTTGCATTTCTAAAACCATTTGTAGAATATGAGGATGTAAAAGATCTGCTCTCCCAGGTTTTAAGTATATGACGTATAACTTCATTTAGTTTGTACATTGCAGAATAAAAGATATTAAAAAGAAAATGCTTTTTATTTGATTTTTGGTATTGTTAATTGATGGAGCACTCGGTTAGTTGATTTAATATATCTTCCATCCATCGTACTTGTATTATTTAGGTTTGGTAACCACTAGGGACATAAGGATCAGAAACATAACCTGCCTATATTTTTATGTTCGCGATTATGTTGGTTTTTAATGCATGTTATGCTTATGTTTCAGTGCATTCCCACTACGAAATAAGCAACATAACACTCTTACRAATATGTTTACAATAATTATTATAATATTATGACCCTTACGTCGCTAGTGGGTACCAAGCCTCATTATAAAATACTTCAGATATAACCCACGCTGATTGGCTGCCAACTGTAACTTTTATATTGTGCAAAATCAATAAAAAATATAAAAACAATATGAATGCCTTCCTATGTCTCTGTATTGTGATATAAACACACTAGGAGCTGTAGAGCACTTGAAAAGCAAGAGAAACAATTGGCTACACCTTGTGTTCCTAGGCTTGCTTCTCTTGTGCTTTATAGCTCTCAGTGCATTTATATCACAGTACAGAGATATGTGTACACATTCTATATTTATTGATCATATCTTTATAAATATATAACTCCCCTCCTAACAAGTAGGTGTAGTTGAAAGAAATCTTTTTTCGCTTTCTTTTTTAAACAATCTTCACAATAACTAATGTCAAATAAAATTCTAAAAAATTTTTCTAGCTTAGTACTGTTTTGTTGTCTATATACCAGCAAGTAAAATGTATTTTGAATGAATACATCATCTTGCTTCCTGCAGCTTTTCGATATTCTGTGAAGACAGACATTCCAACAGCTTGTGAAGTTTGTTTTTCCTGCCCCCAGTAAAATATAAAAGGTACCAACTGAATATTTTTTATCAATGGCAGTGAAAAACCAAATTTCAGATTGCAGCTTGTAACTACCAAGTTCACAGAATATCAAAAACCACAGTAATAAAAGAAAATAAAACATTTTCACACTAAGGCTGAACAAAGGAGAACTTAAACTGGGAGTATTAAGTCATTTTCTAAAACTCATGAATATCTAATGAGGTTTGGAAGTGTGTTCTTAATTTGCATTAAATTCTGTAAACTTTTTCTTTGATTTTCTCCAAGAAATATTCATGAGTTTGAGAAGTAATTTGAAACACTTGAGAGAGTTCTTCCTCCAATTTCCAAACACCTCAAAGTCAGTTAAAAAAACTCCACTGCGCCTCGTTTTTCAACTCACTTTTCGGTGTTTGGAAATCAGAGGAAGAACTCTCTCACTTGTTTGAAATATTACTTCCAGAATACCTTTTGTTATGGAAGTTTGGTTTATCCAGTCTTATTTAAAAAAACGGTTCTAAAAGGATTTCATGCATGATGGCATCATTTTACTACAACTACCAAAATCTTTTGCAATTTTCCTCTCATAGTCAAATTTGTACTGCCTATGAGATATTACAGTGCATGTTTTTGAAAACTTTTTGACAAGTTGATAATTAGTAAGACAATTGGTGCTAATTAACTTAA